TCCTGGGCCAATTGCGCCACCACGATGTCTGCCTGCGGCTCTGTCTCAGCCGTGCCGTACAGCATGTTTTTGATGTGCACAAGATTCTTGCTCACATCTTCTTGCGCCTGAAAGGGGATGTATTTCATCGTAGAAACCGACCGCGTATCCGCAACAACGTACCTTCTCTACCTTCTTGTCGCCGCGCTCCAACGCGTTTACCGCCTCCTTGAGAGCCTTCACCACCTCCGCCGGACTCTTCTGGGACTTTCCAAACAGAGGCATGTTTTCTTAGAATGTATGCACCTTGTGGAACATATCCAAAAAAAAAAAGAAACAGACGTTCTTTGTTATTACGCTGATAGAGAATATCCTCAAGTATGTTTATATCTGAAAGATGCTATTATGACCATTGTTTGCGTTAAATGTGATAAAAAGTGAGTGTTCTGATAAGCTTGGAAACAGTATGTCCCTACACAGCCAAAATAGAACAGAGCGAGAGATACGTATACGTATACAGAGATGATGGAGATACATGAATGTGAGTTATTCGTATCCTTGCGACCAGTATACACTATGAAAGTCCATCGGAATCGGTTGCATTGTGAAGGACTCGAACAAGGACATCGTGAAGGCTTCGCGAAACGAGAGTATTGGAGTCCTCGCAGCTCAGCACGACGTAGCGAAGGACTCGGTTTTGGGCAGAGGAGTGACTCTTCGTGAAAGGAGCCTCCGTACGTCGTCTACCTTTTAAATCTCTACGAATCACAGGCTTGCCGAATCACTCGCCGAGCACAGAAGCCACGACGCGGGGCGCACCCTCAACGTCATCGGTGTCCGATCGCGGGGTCGGCGAAGAAAGATCGTCCTAAAGATCTAACCTCGAAAGGCGACCGAACGAACGGTCCGTGGAAACGTCCGAGTGTCACCTGACCGGAATGACCGAGCGAAACCGAGAGGCGGAAAGGAGGTCGCCCGCGCGTCGAGCCCCCGGAACTCGACCGAGGATGCGTCGCTCGCGAGAGAATCGCGCCGATTGGCGACGAAAACGACCGTCGAGACGCGAGTCACGCGAGAGACTCGGTCGCTCGTCGCGCGAAGGCAAGGTTACGAGAGGAGGTTACGAGGTTGCGGATTCTAACCTAAAATCCGACCGCTTACCATGCAACGGGGGACGTGCGCATACAAACGTGCGTTTTAAAGGATCTCTGCCCCTCTGGGCTCGCGGGCAGCGGCGGTGACGAGCGGTGACGGCTGCGTACGGTTAATTCCGTGAAATCCGTGCCTATGTGCGTGTCACATCAGATGATCGGATATCTCCGTCGTGCGCGCACGTACGTACACGGTTGTACACGGTGCCCCTTGCCCGTCGGCGGCGTACGGCGGACCCCCTTTATTCGCGATTTTTCGTTACGTGCGCGGCTTCGATGCCTTTGATGCAGCGGCGCGACGTATCACGCGTACGCACGTATGTACATATGTATACGGGGTGAGTCACGAGATCGCGGAGCGACCCGAGCGACCGCCAACAAGGTGCCTCGCGGAGATCGCCAGGGACTTGGAGCGCGCGCGAGCCTCGTGTCCGCGGCTTGTCGGAGCGGTCGATCGTCCCCCTTTTTTCAATCGTGCATGAGTCGGAGGCGAGCGTCGGCGGTCGACGTAGCCACGGACGTGGTGAGTCGCTCAATCGCTCGACTTATGGCTCACCCTGTAGCGCGCGATACAACGGCCATATACGTGTTTCACGTTTCACGGCGCAGATGTACAGAACCGTACGAACGTAGTCGCCAATCTTCGATGGATGAATCTCGATTCTCGATTGGGGAAAAAGATTACCTAGGTATATCGAGCGTTCGATCATTACTGCAAGAGCGCGTATCTAGTAAAATCGACGAGACGCTATTTGAAAACCGACAATCTTTGTGGAAGTCGCGCTGTTAATTAAAATTTAAACAATTCGTAACATAATATTTAATTAAATATAATTTTATTAAATATTATGAAATTTATTAAATCTTAATATTATATTTATATTAATTTTATGATTTTATTATTATCCTGAAGTTTCGTAAAACATGTATTTACGATTGTTTAAATTTTAACAGTCAAATTCTATAAGACCGATCGTCTTTAATAATACTTTTTTGGTATTTGTAGAATTTACCATAATATTTATGTCATGAAATTAATTCTATAAAACGTTAATAAAATAAAAATTTATAATATAAACTGATGAAGTAATAATAAAATTTGTTACAAACATTGGCAAGAATTATGCGCGATAATTGTGTCAAGTCTCTGGAATCTCTGGTTGACCATTGCTATAAAACTATAAACAATCGAACGAAAATGTTACAGTTTATCACATATCCAAATGTAATTTTCAATAAAAAAAAAAAACACTTGGAATTACGGATTAAAAAATAAAGTTTGAGACAAAACTTGTAGAAATTGGGGAGACTTGAAAACTTACAAATTAGCCAAAATAACTTTATTCTGTAGAATTATAAAGAACGTTCTTATAAGCGTAAACGCGGTATCTACGCCTGACTATACTCGTACACGAGCGTGCATTATATATATCTCTGTTGTATAATACTAAAAACAAGAAGTTGATGAAACTAATAAATGAATAAGAATTACCACAACTACGAAACGACACAGCCAAAAGCGAGCGGTAAAGCGTAATTTTAATTCCCAGAGACTGAAAGAATCACCTGCATTAAGCGATTAGAGAAATCTTTAAATTATTTTATATGTTTGTTAGGAGCATTTCTCCGATTTTAGTCTCATGTGCGTACAACATTCAAGTGTGATTAAATTAACGCTGTAAATGAGCATAAAATCATAAGGTTGTCTCTGAAGAATGTTTTCGCATAATGCGCAGTAATGAATTATTATCAGTGATTGTTCTTCTGACTATCTGACGTCAATAGTTTCTGTATAAGGCTCATCTTTGCAGAAGACAATTTATCTCCCTTATTTTTCTTGATAAAGCGAACTGCCTTATGCTCGTCAATCATTTCACTTTCATCATGGGAACTCTCGAAACATGCGGGACAGTAGAGATCGCCTGTACAACCCGTACATCTATATAGATCCAATTTATTCGCATTCCGGAAACACATGACGCACTCATTTTCTTCCTCATCTTCATCTTCATCCTCGTCTCCATCCTCGTCTTTCACGTTTGGAGAAGTCTAATTTTTTCAACATAAATTTATATAAAAACTGAATACAATTACTTATTAAATTCAATATATAATTATATATTATTATAATTTATTGCACAGAACGGATAAAAATCTATTTTCAGGGAAAACAAATTCATATTAACTGTAAAATGAAATAGAAACGAAAAGCGCTGAAAGTATTCATTTATCAGTTACTCACGAATACCTACCTCTGTTGACGAAGCTTCTGCCATAGTTGAAACTTTGTTAATTAACTCTACATCATCGTTTGTTCTGTCAAAGATCTTGTAAGTGTTAATCTTTTCCTCCAAGCCTTGATCAAAACGCTGTAAGAAACAAGATTGACGGTTATGATTTTATATTTCGAGTTTTACAATTTTATTCACTTACAGTTTTACCGCCGTCATCCCGTAAGAAGTCGAGTCTCTCAAAATCCTTACAAAGATCGCTAGTGGAAGGTAGTTCTATTTGCGCAAGGTACTCCTGTATCAAATCATCCGCCTTTTCCTGATCCGTTCTAGTATCCACCCGATGTATCTGTAATTAAGATTAATAATCAGTTCATAAGTGCCCATCTACAATAAGTGTTTTAAGCCCTAAGCCTTAAGAAATTGTTCAATCACAGTTGAATTTGAGAAGAATAATTGACTGTGATTGGTCAATTTCTTAGGGCTTAGGGCTTAAAACACCTATTATAGATGGGCACTAATAAAAACCATTGCACGTAACAAAGTTTTAGTCATAATCGTAAGGCCGTAAGAAAATAGATCAATCACAATCGATTATTCTACGAGCTCAAGAAGAATAATCGACTGTGCGTGGTCTATTTTCTTACGGCCTTACGATCAAGACTAAAACTTTGTTACGTGCAATGGCCTTAAAAATCCATCTAACTCAACTACATTCATACATTCCATTCACATACATACATCTATAACACTACTTCCACCGGCCTCTGGACTTTGATCCTTCAACAACGCCAGTCTTTGCTTTATCTCCTCGACAGTAGGCAATGGAATGTTCCGTTCCTCGTCTTTCAGCTTTCGTAGCCTGTCTACGATCTGTTGATCAGCCGGCTCTAATCCCACCTTGAGTTTGTCCCAGCGATTCGTATGTTTGTATATCACTATTGGAGGCTTTACCGGATTCTCCAGCAAATTCAGCCTGCAATAAAATATTCAACGTTAAAAAACATCATATTCTTAGACGTATCTCGAGTGTAACGATCAAACTGCTCGGTGAGTATCCGGCGGAAAATCAATTCGTCTCACTTCATAGTGATGTCAATTGGCGCGAGTGGCTCATCGCTCACGTTAGGCGTAACAGCACCGTCCACGGAATTATCCGTGGGACTCGATTTCTTCATTTTGCTTAGCTTGTTGTGACAACGTCCGCAAACTTTCCTTCTCCCTACATCAGGAATATTGCATTTGTACTTGAGGCATTTTCTACAGCAAGAATAGCCGCAGCCCGGGCAACCGATCTGAGCGAGTAGCAAAAATAAAAATAAATAAACAAGACAAATTCCTCTTCAGCTTTCCACTACGACTGGATTAACCTTTTGAAATTGAACGAAGCATCGGACACTTACGTCTTTCACGAAGAACGAAAATTTCACTTGGCACGTGTTGCAGGACATTCCCTCTCGCAATGACAAGAAAAATTATATAACGGACAACCTATTAAAAATGTTTCAAAACGTGCACCAGAAGATTTTGACCAATTTTGACGGTTCTTCGCATTACTTTTTTTTTTCTTATATGTCGTAAGCGGTAGGTAACCTCGAACGGTTATCACCAGCAACTCGTTAGGGAATTTTATTTGTCGCCGGGACTGCCACTGGAAACGTTACTGGGCAGCACTGGGCGAGGACGACGAGAACCAAAGGAGGAAGAAGGGAAGGAGGTCGAACCTAACCTCCATCGTGACACTCCCCGACTTCTTCCCGAACGTTGGGACGAATTGCGCGTTTATGCGACGTTTCGTATGCAAAATCATGGTAACGCACAACGTACTTTGACACCGTCGACCTCACATAAATTCGCGATACTCCGTTCGTTCTTGATACACATCGATTTTTTTTCCTCGGGGGGGACAATTTCATTCGCGGTTAGCATCGTCTCGCGCGTATCGTCAGGACTATGGCAGACGTGCATCTGTACGACTCGACAATTTGTCGACTGTGCGCGGCGAGCAACGGCAACGAGCATCTGTTCGTCAGCGAGACGGGCGAGCCGGATCTATCCTCGCTCGTGAATCGTTACCTGCCGCTCAAGGTGAGGCGCTGGCGCTTTCAAAACGCCGGTCAAACGGACTGCAACTTGATTTCCTACTACGATTTTTCGTGCGGCTCTCCCATCCCGTGCGGCTACTGCACTGATCAAATGTTCCATCATTTTAATGCGTCGCTTTGATTATTTGTTAGCTTTTTCATCTGAACTTTCGCCCCCCATTCCCCCTCCCTATCTCTCTGTCACTCTCTTTCTCTCTTTTATTCCTTTTACCGGACAAAGCATATGATTATTTTTTATGATAGCTGTTTGTACTCCGAATATTATGTATTGCTTCTCTCCAGATTGCTACTTGAATATATTCAGAGATGAACAGTTTCTTTATTGATACACATCATCTCACAATTTTGCATCTGAACATTGAGAGATTTGCAGTACAGGATATGAACTATATTGTACAAATTATATTTGATGTAATGATACGTTTATATAAACTGTAAATCAAATTCAAGATTCACGACGATGGAAAACTACCACGGACAATTTGCCCGGGTTGCAACATCCAGCTGGAGGCGACGGCGCAATTCTTCGAGCTGTTGGTGGCTGGCCAGCGCAAGATACGCGAACTCTGGAAACATCAAGTGGAGAAGCAGCGCAAGGCCGAACGCGGCAAAAAGGAAAATGCGGAGTTCGAAGTGGAAGGAACAGAAATGGATAGCACGGCTCAGTATAATGAAGATGAGCAGTACGAACAGCAAATAATTATTAAGAGTAATGCCATTCTTCCTTTGCATATTCGTCACCTTGTGAAACTGTTATATTTCATGTAACTTTTAATGCTACTTATGATACAGTTATGCCAGATGGATCCATGTATGCGGTGGAGCATGAAATGAGTTTGCAGATGGAAGGCTTGACTAAGCCGAAAAGGAAGCGTGGACGTCCTCCTAAAGTAAATGCGGAGGACGATTCTGTGGTTTGTATAATAATAAATTATTTTGCAACATTTATTATTTTATAACTCTTAATATATGTACATGTTTGTATATATTTTTTATAAGGCGTCAAAAGAGAATCCTGCAGAAGCTGGGAGTCAAGGTGAAGAGGATAAGCAGGAAGAGGAAGAAGAAGTGGATGGCGATGGTAGACGCAGGAGGAAGCGCAAAGTTCCCAAAAGGTACGTTAACGTGAAAACTTGTAGCTTAATGTGGGATCCAGAATATCGGGGGTCAATCACTGCTGTATACAAATAGTCATGCCTCGACAGCATGTACGCGTCGGGCAATCGTCGCGGTTTCGCGATACCGGCGCAGTTGATTGCCGGTCGTCGTAGAGATAAGAAAGAAGTGATATTAGTGATATTAATAAAGAGTATCCTATTTCTATTAAATCGCGCGAATCATTTTCCGTCCCATCCTCGCGCATATCTTTAAAGAAAATCCATGCTACAATAACTTATATAATTGTTAGTAAATTTGCACAGGTACCTAGAAGCAGTGCAGGGAAAAGAATTGGAAAGGATATTCAAGGAGGAAGGTGTGATCGATGAGGAAGACAATAATTCTCAAATATTTGACGGTCCAGCAGATCTGTTAAAATCTTCTAATCAGGAGGATGGTCAAGAAGGTATACATAACGATCAAGATATCAAATAAGAAATTAAAAAAAAAAAAATTTTTTTTTCTCCATAAGCGTGTCATGCATATTTTACAGAAGTGATAGGACATCTCGAAACGGAAGAGGGTACAGACTTGGGTGAGGTGGTGACTGTAAACCGTGGACGATCGAAATCAAAATTGCGCCGTCGAAAAAATAAGTTCACGTGCCAACTCTGCGGCAGGGGTTTCCTACAACGTAGCAAATATATAGTACACAAGTAATATAATTTTCTATAGATGATTGTACGTTTCCTGTACAAAGATCTTGGATGTGAGAAAATTCTTTTTCCTGCAAATTAGATGTTTCTCGTATTTTAGTTTGTCATTTTTTATTTTATATATGTGAATTGTGCTTATATTTCTAAATTCTCAAAATTTTTTGTTAAAAGTTAAGATTTTTTTAGATATATATTCAGTTTTTAAACAATTTTTATATTTTAATACAATACTGCTTAGGAGTTTCCATATGGGTATCAAGCATGAATGCACACAATGCAAGAAGCTATTTGAAAGTAAAGAGAGTCTGACATTGCATCAAGAAACGACTAAACACAATTCAAATCCTACCGAAGAAAATGGCGAGGTACAGAAGTCACAGAAGTCGCATGAGACGCACAACGTAGAGCAGACCACCTCCACGGTGACACCCGAGATAGCGAAAGATTCCAGAAAAGCGATTTATACGTGCGAAAAATGCAACAAGCAATTTGGATTAAAACAAGAATACGAATTGCATATGAGAGTGGTGCATGAGCAGCAGAAATTCACTTGTAACACTTGTAAAAAGAGTTTTACAAATGAATCGGATTTGAAGACGCACATGACAACGCACGGGGTTCGTGTTTCATCATAAGTTATAACGAAATGACAATGATATTAATTTAAAAAAATTGCTGAAAAGATATTGTAAATCTTAAATATTTTTATATGATAATTTTTACGATCCTTTTGATAAAGTTACACATAATATTTCTGGATCTTGTTAAATGTTTGTGTAATATTGCAGAAAACTAAATACAACTACCCTTGCGATATCTGCGGTAAGGTCCTAAACCATCCGAGTTCCGTGTTGTATCACAAGGAAGCCGAACATAACAACGGTCGTCGTTTCGTCTGCAACAAATGCAACAAAAGCTTCAAGCATAAACAGTTGCTCCAGCGACATCAGCTGGTGCACTCGGATAATCGGCCGCACGTTTGTAAATCCTGTAACGCCAGTTTCAAGACGAAAGCAAATCTGATTAATCATCAATCCACCCACACCGGTCAGAAAAAATATAACTGTGAACTTTGCAAGCAACAATTTGCGCACAAGACTAGTCTCACTTTGCATTACAGGTAACGCATCATCACATTAACAGGAACACATCACTTATTTTTAATGTACAGACATTCTAAGGTATTGAGAAAGGAAATATAGATAATGCATTCTTAAGTTTTCCGGAACTTATAAATAAAAGTGTGTTTAACTTTTTTAATTTGAATTTCTGAATTAAGATTTAATTAGCTATCGGCGTAAAATGAATATAATATCTTGAAAATTGTATGGCTCTGTTTCAGATGGCACAGTGGTCAAAAGCCATTCAAATGCAAGGAGTGCGGCAAGAGCTTCTCGCAGAATGGCAATTTGCAAGAGCATATACGCATTCACACTGGTGAAAAGCCATACAGTTGCGATTTCTGCGGCCGGAAGTTCACCACGTCGTCACAGTTCAAGCTACATGTAAAACGGCATACCGGCGAGCGGCCGTGGAAATGCGAGTTTTGCGCGAAGACCTTCTTGCACAAAGATACATGGAAATGTCACGTGCGCCGGCATAAGGGGGAACGTCCGTTTCAATGCAGTACATGCAAACGTAGCTTTACGGAACAGTGGGCGCTGAAGAAACATATTCGTTTGCACACTGGTAACTAAAATGATGAATCGTGTCCCAGATTTAAAAATGAAAGAATGTAATAAACATAAAAATGTGGACGGGTGCTTTCGTTTTTTGTATTATTTTAATTTCCGTGTAATAAAGTATTAATGATTTCACATTTTGTAGGTGAGAAGCCTTATTCCTGCGATGTGTGTAACAAAGCTTTCGCCGATTGTTCAAATTTGACAAAGCACAAAAAGGTACTTCAGTGATTCAAATTCACTCTTTAAATTTTTCGTTACTAATCAGTAATAACTATCAATTTTAATTTCTGCAGGTGCACAGGGAGGATAAGGTGCCACCTACAAACAAGTCGGAAGGATCTCCGATCGGCCAAGTGTGGCAGATTCTGCCGAATTCAGTTCGGCAGGTTGACGAACGGACGTTCAGTAATCAAATAATAGCCACTGACGAGACATCTAATGATGGGATTCAACAGATTATTTATGTATCTTATCAGGACCCTAGCGATTCTAATGAGCGAACATTCCATATGAGTATGCGAACAATTATTAATAAACTTGCTAATCATATATAATTGTCAACTTATCATTGGATTAATTGATGAATTATTATTTTGATTATGGAAATTTAGTTGACGCCAACAAGAACAAAGACGAAATAGTGGCGAGTGTGAATTCCTTGTCGCGTTTGGATATGGAGAACAATGAAGTCATTGGCGATAGAATTATGAGTAATGCAGCCAGCAGCAATGACGACCAGTCAGAGATCGAATTGACGGAACCAGATTTGCAGTTGCAGGTAAGAAAGATGGACCCTATTATTTTTATTACTTCTTCGTCTGCAATGGCGCTATAGCCCAAGTCGCGCCTTGGCCTAATTTAACAATTTTCTTCCATTCAGCCCAAGTTCTAATCGAATACCTATATATCTTGTTATTAACTTCGAAGATTGAATAGCTATGATTAGAATCTTCTTAAATGACATAACTGTTCTTTATAATTAAAATTTTTCTTCCATAATATCTGTTTTAGATCACAGATGAACACGGAAATCCGATTCCGTTAACCATTCAAGAGGCTCGACAGCTTTTGTCGCAGGGTCATTTTGTCAGCCAGTTTAACGACAACCAAATTATGAGACTTCATCCTGGAATGTTCGCGACACAACAACTCCAAGCCTTGAATATTCACGTCGACGAAGACACTATGGAGGAAACTGGAATCATAGTGCGTCCGAATACACACAAGAATATCGAAGCATTGTCGGCAATTCAAGCTGACGCAGACGCAATTGTTCAAGCGCTTGAGGTAATTTCCAGTTTAATGCCAATAATAACAGAATTTCAATAGAATCTTTTTTTTGCGTATCTTTTATTTTTTAAATATACAATAAGCTTTCTATAAATTTTATCAATTCTTTGTTTTATCTTCACAAATTCCCCAAATTGCAGATTCTTTACCTCTTTATTTTTAGTATCATATGTTTGTATATTTTTGTATATTTTTTTCTTATACATATGTGTACATTGATAATTAAAATTATATTATATAGCTATATTTGATGATGTTAATAAAATACTTTAACACTACTTTTTATAGGACGAGGATACCGACGCCACGACAGTCGCGACCATCAATCAGCTAGGAAATATCGAGCAGACTGAATTCGTGAATGGTGAACAAACAATTGAATTCGTGACTCAGGATGGACAGAAACTTCGTGTCCTAACATCGCAGCTCGCTTCAGAGTACGTGACTATTGCGTAATAAAAGAAAAATTGGATACGTTCGTGATCGATGCAGCCTCTGTTGTGAATATTTTGATGATTAATCAGATCCTTAAAGATTATGCAAAAAACTTCAAAAGATTGTTTGACATCTTCGTTAAATTTCAAAGATTGTGACGCATTTAAATATATCTTGCTACTCATAATGTTTCTAAAATATTGCGATATAGTTTAGTTGAAATTTTGGCGGAGTTACCGCAACTAGCACATTTTTTAAAATTGTTACAAGATCGAAGGTTGCTTGAAGAATCCTTACCACTCTAATTATAAATGAGATTAAGACCTGGTCTTCAGAGTGTAGTAAGCCTTTAGCCTTTTGTTCTAAGCTATGACTTTTTTTTAGCAAAAAGCGTCTTCGGCGTTACTTTAAACCGTGATTTGTTCTGTTGGGCCAGATCAAAGTTATAAAGTTTAGAGCTTAAAGCAAATTAACGTCATAGCTTAGAACTTATCGTTAGAACAAAAGGTCACAAGTTTTCTACATCTACTGTAAATCCGGATTAAGGGTTACAGATCAAAAACGATGTACGTGGGATCATAACTGATCGTTATCATAACTGTTAATTATTCAGTAATAATCTAATAATTGATTTCTTATAGTAATAATATATAGTAGTATATAATAATACAAGAGATATTGTTATAAGAAATTAATATCCTTACATGTGTATAAATTCATGTGTTAGAGCATTTATGGCTCCATGTATACTTAATGTTCATCGGCGCGTGTATGGGAAATATGTATAGCTCTTTTCATTCAGTTGATTCTTATCATTCTTTTGCAAACAACACAAAACTGACCATTTTTTAGCTCCGTCGTTGTAGTAAATGAGCGATACATATTTCCCGTGAATGCCATTGATATGTTTATAAATTTGTGGGTTAAATTAATTTACCTCGTATGTACATATATAGTTTGATACATCTCAAATAGATAATGTGTACTCGGTTACATTAGTATAAACGATGACAGTTTATTATATAACGAGCAACGTTGTATATATAACATTATTATACACATTAGACGTAATAAAAAAGAGGAAGAGCATTTGAATTTGTATGAAAAGGATGCTCCTTCTTCGTTTAATAATTAAGCCTCGTAATAAATCTTACAATTAGCCGTTTTTGACAGTTTATATAATAGAATAGAATATTATTTCATTATAGCGTTCTTATTATGAAATAAAAGTCCTAATATTATTATAACCCGTTTAATTATTATCGACGAGATACTATTAAAAATCATCTCCCGAGCAAATTATCGTAGTTATCATTAATTAGAGAGGCCCAGGAATAATTGAAGAATAATGATATCATCAACTATAAATGTCTATAAATAATTAACTTTTAAATTCGTGCAATAATTCATGACTTCTTGTTGCATAATTAGGATGGCAATAATAAAACGGCAGTTTCAAATTAAAATTGAATATTATTGGGCTCTCTATATCTACATATATGTTTACAAAATATCATGAGAGAAATAACAATATAATAATAATAACAATATAATAATAAATTATAAGATTAAGTATTATATTATGAGCTAATCTAAATTTTAGCAATCACGCGAACCTCCATTAATTATAATGGAATCTACATTAGATAGAAGTGGACATTAGCGCGCCGAGAAATTGAAATGTAAAAGGATTGCCGCGCTTTCAAACACGTGATTTTGTTGACCGTTTGGTACGCGCGGATCGCACAGCTCGCTTCGTCGCTTCGCACAGACCAGCTGACCGCGCGCCGGTCTTTAATAATATTTCGTCAGTGGTATGGCGGGCTGATTGTGGTGCTGGGGGGCAAGTGGGGCATGGAACAGGCGCGTCTGGAATCGTCCCCCTGGCCGGCGTGCTTGGCCGCTCGTGAGAACCGTTTACCGTGCGGTGTCCCTCATGTCCCGCTCTTGATCGAGGACATTCCTCGATACGCGTCCTCGCCCGATTACAGGGAGAATTGCGTGAAGAGCGTGCAAACGATCGGCGAGATCGTGCCCGGCACCGGGCGAATCGCGCGTTTACGGAGCATCTCGTCGGACCGCGAGGCGAGTGTCACCCTCAACCTGGAGGGACTTCCCGTGGACGGTCTCTACCTCAACGACGGCAAGGGAAAGTGTCTGTTTATATGGGTAAAGCGATTCGCTTCTAGAAGGCCTGTCTCGTCAACGAAATACTCCGATGTTTCCTAACCCCCTTGGGGGGTTAATTTTCCTTAACGTTACAGCGTGGCTATGTATAATAACAATTTAGCCCGTATCAGACTGCATATTGATGATGGAGGATTGCGAATCGGAGATTAGAATTCCAGCGGTCGGAACGAAACGGATTCCTGGTGAACAAATTTTTTATATTTTTTTCTCAGAAATTTTCTGAGAATTTTTCATATTTTTGATTTATGAAAAATTCTGAGAAAAAAACATGTCAAATTTCTCAGATACTTTCAGAAATAGTTGGATAAGGATTTTGGGAATGTTTCAGCATTTGCGTGGAATTTCTACAAAGATGTATTAAGAAAATCTGAAAAATGTCCCAATTCATATGAAAGATCTGAGAAAATCTTAAAATTTTCATAGAAATGATTAATAATATGAAAAATTCTGAGACATTTTTCCACCAGGGATTGAATTAAAATTTGCAATCTTTAATCTCTAATGTGTAGTCTGGTATGGGCTTTAGGTTTGTTTTTTTATTGCTGCATTGCACTGTAGAACTTGCCTTCTTCCTCATCAAATTTCAAATATATACCTATTTTCACTTTAAATACGGAAAGTTTGTGTTAATTTAGTTATAAACAAATAGACCTCTAGTATAAAATACACTGTACATGTACAGGATATAGCTTGCAATCGAAAAAGAAGTGATTTTTCACCTTATTGATGAATAACTTAACTGTTATATTTTTGTTTATGTTATTATTTACAAACGTTAATATTTAAAAATGTTAAAAGTGACCGTTTTTTTTTAAATAATATAAGTTTATGCCTGTAGCAATAAAATGGCTTGGTATTCTGCCTGATTTAGTTGTCTCATGATCTTATACTTTTGCAGGAAAGATCTCGTATTTTTAAAGTTTTTGGAATGCTGGAACAGAGGGAAAATGACATCGTACTGATAGCTCATAAATTGCTGAAAGTCGAAGACGTACGCGGCAGTTTAAATACATTATCATTGTTATCTACAGCAGCTCGTCCTATGTATTACCAGTAAGATTTCATAAAAACTACAATTTCAGCGAAGAAAGTTATACTTCTTATAAAGATGTTTATACAGAAATTTATCCAAGTATAAGTCCGTTAGAGTAGAGAGCAGAGTAATGATTGAGATTCAGTATTCGACGTATAAAGCACTTTGGGATCCGCAGTGTTAATAAACTGTGACTTTTTGCAGGTATAAAGAGTTGAAATAAAGCGAGAGCGAAGCGTTTGGATGAATCTTTCATCTCCCCGCGCATATATTTCGATATTGGATGTTGAGAGCCAGTTTCGTCACTGCAATAAGAGCATTTTCTAATCGAAACATGAGTATTTTTACGCAATGTTTGAATCCTCTCACTGGCGTTGCCTCGTGGGAGGAAAAAGATCAATATTACGATTATCATCAAGAAGTAGCTAGATCCGCTTTTGCAGACATGCTGCATGACCATGAACGAGTCAGTATCTTATATTATCGGCATATTTTTTATTTAATAATAATTTTTTAACCAACGGAATAAAAATTATTCACATTTTGTTCACTAGAATGAGAAGTATTACATTGCCCTCAAAGCTGCTATTGAGAAAAAGCACCAGGCTGGTGAAGAGGCTAACGTTCTTGACATAGGCACTGGGACAGGCTTGCTGTCGATGATGGCTGCCAAATGCGGAGCAGACACTATAACGGCATGCGAGGTAAGGGAAGAGAATCTCGAAACCTTTTTTCAAAGTTCTGCTTACGCAGGGAGATCTTGTTTTTAGGCATTCAAACCAATGGCGAATTGCGCCGCACAAATAATAAAGGAGAACGGCTTCGAGGATAGAATTAAGTTGATCCGTAAGCGTTCTACGAAGATGATAGTGGGCGAAGGTGGTGACATGCCAAAACGCGCGAATATTCTAGTCACTGAAGTATTCGACACCGAGTTGATTGGTGAAGGAGCACTATCAACGTTTCGCCACGCACACGAAGTTCTTCTCGAGGTAACGTTAAACTTACACATGTGATCCTGCTCGTTCAAAGATATGCTTACGCTTTGCTTTTTTACATTAGGAAGACAGCATAGTCGTGCCGCACAGAGGAACAGTATGGGCGCAAGTAGTCGAGAGCACCAAAGTCTGTGCTTGGAATCGAGTAAAGCCTATTAAGAACGGAGAAATGTTGGTTGACGCTCCACCGACCATCCAAGCGTGCTCTGGTGCTGCAGCTGTGCACGACATGCAACTGTCACGTCTTCCTCGCGATGCTTTTGTACCTTTGCTGCCAGCACAGCCTATTTTCAGGTAATGATCTTTCATTTCTCTAAAGAGAGAATATTTAAAACAGGAATCTTTATTGAATCGACGCAAATGGCGAGTAACAGTGACGCAGAGAATATTAAATAATAAACGTATTTATAGAAATAAAAATCCAAGAATGGATTTATTATTTCTATTTTTAAAGCTATTTTTCTTTTATTCATTTTTAACAATCAATCAATTAGTCAATATTGGCTTTTTGGGGGTATGCATGTATATGCCCACCTATCTTTGGTAGATATACGCGCGGCCACCACAGCTTCATAACTCTAGGTAAATCTTGGTCCAATCTGAAGATTTCTTTTGGTCTTTCTCTTTGAACATTCGCAACAATAATGTTTCACAATGATTATCAGCCGCACGTACATCCTAACTAGGAAAGCCAGAGAGATTTCTGTGGCTGCGGTCCGATTCACGCTCATAATGCTGAAAGCTTTGCTGTATCTTCGTTTCATATTCGATGTGCAACGAAGACAGTATGATGCTTACAGTGCTGTGAGCTTGAATCGGACCGCAGCCTTTCAGAGCCTTCTAATCTTTAGCTTATTCAAATTGCTAATTTGAAAATCTGTATAATTAATAATGATAATTATTAATAATAATTTTTAAATAAATTGATATTTGAAAATGCACTTTAGGTTTGACTGGTCCGGCAAGAAGCCTTTATTGAACAACGAAAAAGTATCATTATTAACACAACCGATAGCAAGCGGGACCGCACATGCAATTTTTATGTGGTGGGACTTGAACATGGATACAGATAATCAGGTAAACGTCTATATTATTTTTCTAATCATCTTTATGAATTTTCATACCACGTATCATTTTCAGGTATTACTGAGTTGTGCACCTGTATGGGAACATCCAGACGTACCTGATGACATGAAGAAAGATGCCACGTCTTTGAAAAAGATGACGGATACAATACCTTGGCGGGATCACTGGATGCAAGCTGTCTATTACCTTCCAGAAGAAGTACCTATCACATATGGCGTTGAGGTCAATGTTATCGGTTATCACGATGAATATTCTTTCTGGTTTAAATTACTGAATGGACCTCTGTAAGTCTCTTTTTGTAATATTTTACTTAATCACCCTGCACATTTTATATAATTTATACAGTTTTATTATTTTTTTATAATTATAAAAAAATCCTGAATTATTATTAATTAATTTTTTTAAAAATAACAATTTTAATTATGCTTTAACAAGCCATTTTTAATGCTTGCTAAAGTATAATTAAAATTGTTCCTTTTGTTTAATGTAAATTAAGTAAAAAGGAAAATCTCTTTCACAGAAATGAGATTCCAGATTGTCAGAGACCTGAGTGCAATTGCTGGGCGCATATTGCATACTCACGGACGCGTATTGGTCAATTAAACGACACAGTTCGTAATCAGAGATACCTACAGGCTTTGCGGAGGAAGATCACTCCGAACAGCGTTTGTCTATGCGTCTCGGATGGTTGTCTGTTGGCTCTCGCGATTGCAAGGTTGGGCGCAAAGGTGTTCCTATTGGAGCAGAATTTCCTATCGCGTAGAACCATGGAGATGTTTGTGCAGACAAACGGGCTCTCCGATCGAGTAAAGATCGTCGAGTCGGTCGATGGTCTGCCGGAGGCAAGCGAAATTGATTTCATTTTTGGCGAGCCATATTTCCTGAGCTCCATTGTACCTTGGGAGAATCTACGATTCTGGTATCTCGCCTCCAGATATCCGTCGAGTATTGCGAGACTGCCGGTCGCGGCGACGATCAAGGCCGCTGCTGTCGAGTTCAAGGATCTGCAGAAAATACGTGCTCCTCTTGGCGCTTGCGAGGGTTTTGATCTCTCCTCTTTCGACAGACTTATTCAAGTTGGTTCTGTTTTAGTAGCTTTATTCTTCTTTTATATCATTCGAAATACTAAAGGGAAATTGTATTCTATTTTCAGGCGTCTAGCGAGAAAAGTGACAACCCCGTAGAAGCGCAACCACTTTGGGAGTATCCTTGCAAAGCGTTATCTTCGTCTTTTGATATCATAAAGCTTGATTTAACACGGAACGTAAATTTTGACGAACGCAAGAGGATAACGGGAGAGATTCCAATTTTAGAGTAAGTGTCTGTTATTGAGCGCTAAGTAAATACTACGCTTACTTACAGAGGGAAATAATGTTTAAGCGTCAGAGAAAACAGATTTTAATTTTTTTAATATACTAACAATATCCATGTTTTTCGTTTTATAGCAGTGGCTGCTGCAATGGCGTCACTATATGGGTGGACTGGCAATTGGACTCGGATCTGTCAATATCTTGTGGCCCAATTGAGGAGATAGTACCTGGCGAGCGTATATCTTGGGATCCATACACGAGACAAGGCGTACATCTATTTCGTAAAGTATTCAATGTTACGAAAGGAAGCACACTTTCGTGGTCGTTCACCTTTGTGCCACAAAGTGGCGAAGTAGAATTTGAATTTGATGTATTGACGAATGATTAATTGTATTAATAAATGTTTGTGTTTGTTCAATATTTGTAAAATATTAAAATGTTTTAATGTTGATTTCTTATTATATTAAAGAGTATCTCAAACATGAAACAAAATTATGAAAATAAAATTTTACGATACAAAGAATGATATCAAGATAATAGAAATATAGGTTTTAAGGGCTCTTTTTACTCCAGAGATTCAAATAGCAAAAAGGGATCAAGTAAACTGGAATTATTTGAAGAAACCGAAAGCACCCCAAGAGACGAGCGTGGCCTAGTAGACAGCGCACTCGTCTATTAAGCCAAAGATCCCGGGTTCGATTCCCGGTAGAGCTAGAAAATTTTATTCGCTCGTTCTCCTCTCGGAAGGCAATGGCAAACCACCGAGAGTATGTCTTGCCACGAAAACTTCTCCAAAAAATTGCCGTTCGAAATCGGCGTTAAACTGTAGGTTCCATATACAATGTGTATAATCCACGTGCGCAACACATGTATATGAAGAGAAGTCACCACGCTCCGGACACGAGTAATAGGACAAAAGATGTTCTTTTCTGTTTGAATCTTATCCATTTTAAATTGCCAATATTTTTGCCGGGTGAACGATTTTGAAATAGTAGATTAGCTGTAAGTATCTGGTAGTGCACAAATTTTACTTAAAAATAAAAAACTTATAAAACTTGATCACGTTTTTCAAAGTTAATATGTTGGATATTTAGAAAATTAGTCAAATGATCTACTTATTGAAAGAAAATAGTAATTCCTAGCTAGCCCGGGTATCGAGAAGGATAAGTTGTTTATAACATTTTACTTTATTTTTTTAATAAAATTAAGTTTAATACTCCAAATATATTTCATTGGATAAATAGTATTTTTCTTACATTTTTTACAATTTTATGAGAAATGACACGTCATATTATCAAACCGTTTTCTTCCAAACATGGAAATTAATATTTACAAGATATATTATAAATCTTCACAAAGATCCGCTGTTATTTTTAAAAATCCTAAAAGTAATTTTTTCGAGCCGCTAAAATAGAGTATCTTAGGCTTATTTTATAAATTGTAAATATAAATTTATTGAAACTTTCATGTGCTAACTTTACGCAGTATTTCTTTTCCATATCAACGCTCTTTATATGAAGTTCATGAAAGATATTTATTTTATATATTTATCTAATTTTCAAATATATATCTCGATAAACTTTCAGTACGTCTTAATATTATGAGGTACTATCCGGTAATATACGTAATTGTTTAGCGAGTCTTTTGCCAATTAACTTTGGATAAGCTTTCTGTTTGATAAGAAACTCCTTGCTCTGGTGTGTTACCGCACCATTTTCTAATTGAAACCTAAAAGAAGGAAAAGTTTCACACTTCTTGCATATATGATGTAATTTTTAGATGTATTGATTTTAATTGACTACTATATTTTTTTCGTTTCTTCTTCAATTACACAAAATTATAGTTTATTCGAAGAACTTTATCTAAATAATGGCTTTAATAACTTGGGGGGGAAGGGGGGAACTTATGTACTTGCCTACATAAATAATGTAGTGGACCCAGCATCTTCTCTCTCAGTTCGGGATCCCCTTCTAGAATCGAGAGCGCACTCGCGCCTGTCTCCAGCGTCGAGAGACAACCCTCCGTCGGCTGCGTCCTGATCACGTATTCACTAGTGGGTACACCGATCAGCTTGCAAGCTCGTAGAAAATACAGAGCTGGGCTCGAGTGATATATCGCCTGCACATGATAACAATAAACATTGAAAAATCTGGTAATCTATCGTATTGTCTTATTACAATATAATATTATCTTTCGGCACAAAGATAATTATCTTTTGGCACATTGTATCACTTCTAAAAGTCTAAATTAGTAATTATATGTACTATTAACGCGAGAAATTTATGGATGTCACCGTATAGTAGCAATTTACTTTCGCTTGCGGCCACGTTCCATCCAGCAGAACCAAGTTATATGCCTTTTGCTCATTGATCCCAACTGGATCCAGCGTATCCAACGCAACAGCGCCAGGTGATGGATATAGCAAAATAGTATTCTTGTCATTTAATATCTCCGCCAGGCCTTCGTGCTTAGGCAACGGAAACTTTTTTCCCCTTTAAAGAAATGGAAAACAGGATTGACTTTGTTAACATCTTATTCAATTTAGACCACGGACGGTGATCAAGCTGAAATAATTGCCCCTCGTTCACCTGAAAATTAGGCACTTTCCCGATTCTAATGCCAATGCGAGCATCGGCACGGTGCGCAGACAGCGCTTTGCCTCTGCCGGATGCTGCAAAATTATTATCCTCGACGCTGGATTGAGACGCTGCTTCGGCAAACCCGGACACCAGCATACTTGTACAGGTCTCCTACAAAAGCATACGTGTGATTAGATTTGACAAATTCTCGTACAGATCTTATAGGTCTGTTGTTTTCAGCTGAACTTCTCGCACCGTTCACCTTTCTTCTCTCCAAAGTGGAAAGAAAAAGAGGAAAGATGAACGGTGCGAGGAATTCAGATAAGAAGAATAGGGCGTTCAGAATCTCTTGACACTTGCCTGCATTGTTGACACTTGTCTCTCGTGTCGGGGGGATCGGCAGGGATTCTTGCTAGTTCTCTCCACACGTTATCCTCGCTCGTCATGACAAAAGCGATTCATGAAAAATCAAGATTATTCAACAATCTTCTGTAACCAGCGACAGCGTTTGTCAATCCACGCGATCGGAGCAGTGCAAGTGTCAAGTTTCGCGATTACCGTACATCGGTGTCGCAACACTCATGGCGATAAAACCGAGTGAATCACGTCGAACCGAATTGAATATAGAGTACATATGTGAAAAAGGAGATTTACAGTCGGAAAATTAACGACGGTGCGTATAGTAAAATAAGAAATGAACGAGAAGAGTCAAGACGTGCGAAAAGAGAGGTTAGGTTAGGTTAGAGGTTAGGAGGGAGCGTTTCGTTCGGACCACGTTGCGATTGACGCCAGTCACTCAGCTGACTCAGCCCTCAGCCCCCTCGTGCCTGGAGTTTTTCCACTGGACCAGGCAATCAGATATTTTCTTATTTTATTTTGGGGCATAAGAGAATCATTTAAATCCATTTAAATCTACCGGGTAAGCTGCCGGTATCGCTTCAATTCTACCAGGGCGCGCTCGAAATTGTATTAAATAACGTCGGAGACTGTCCGTCTTGCGTCCGACGTGAAGTGTGGCGGTGTGATGGTCTGACTTCTCTCCGAACTTACTCCGAAGTGTTCTGAGTTTTGAGCGCTGCTCCAGTCTCACCGTTCGGTCCAGCGACATTCTCACGACACATCCAATCGCCGTACGTTAATTATCGCAATTGCGGCAAGTTGCGACGCATCTCCTGGACGAGGCTCATCTGCCCCTTGCGGGTTTCCCTTTGCGTCAATTATCAATCAACCGCGGGAATCGGTGCGGTGTCACCGATCGGCCGTTCCGCGGTTAGAATTCGGAGCAGCGAAAATTCGTCTCAACGGTATCCCGACGGTGTACCGAAACGCTGTCGTACTTACCGCGAACGACAAGCGTTTTATTTAAGATCAATGGAGTGCGCGACAAGATTTCCGACGATTCTCGTCGTTTGACGTGCCGCGAATCTCTGCGCACCGCCGCCGATTCGTTCGCGACGGGGACGGGGAGAAGAAAAAACAATAGGCCGCCTGGGTTTTTGCGTTTCGGACTCTGCGTTTTGCGTCGATTGGATTAGCGTGGAATATCGCGCCTCTTTTGGGCGACAAACTCGCACGGTTGGCCCTTTAACGGGGTCAATGAAACGGGTCTGCGCGATCGGTGTGGGTGGGTTATTTAGAGGACGGGGAATTCGGAAGTGACATTCCTTTCGCGGCACGCAGAGCGACGTGACACGAATGCCGCGTCGCATCGTTTCGGATTCGATCATCCCGTTGGAGCATTTGATCTATACCGCGCGTTTAAATGTCCTTCTCGCGATATCTCTCAGGAGAGAGAGATAGGTGTCCGACGTTTATGTATTTCTAATCCAATTCGCCGCCTTGTGTCCATTTCTACCAATGTAGATTTAACTTTAATCACGGTTTGACTTACTTTTCATCTTTTTCTAGTTCTTAGAATTAGAGAAAGATAAAAGGTAAGTTAAGCCAAGATCAAAGTGAATCTGCATTGGTAGAAATGGATTATTAGTGACCTGGGCTTTCTCCAAATTGCAGATGGCAGCGAACGCGCTCGAGGAGAAAATTAACAAGATAAGGCAACAGAATGAGGAAATCAGAAGGAGGCACGAGGTAAGAGTCTCCGTGATTAGACGGATAATTGTCCTATACGTGAGAAAATATCCGAGCTTTATTGTCCAGGAAGTGGAGGAGGATAAGAAAAATGCAGCCAAACTGAATGCGCTGGTGCAAATGGTGCCGTCTACAGATTGGCCGGAGAGGAAAGAGCCGCCAGAATTTTCTAATCCACCTAGAACGAGTAACAAGGCAAAACCTGCCAAGGAACACCACGAGCATTCTCAGCAATATCAGCCCGCGAGTGGCGAAGGACGGAAAGGTCATATGTTTGCTCAGGTGCGCAAAGAAATTATATTAAAAGGATCTTGATTTGGCAATCTTTTAATAAAATCCTTCCCGTTTGGAAGCTCAGGCCTGTTTAAACTTTGATTTTCAATAAACTGAAAATTCTCATTGATGCTTTCTTTTCTTAGGGACAGGGGCCTCCACCTGATCCCAAGTATAACTTCCTTGCTGATGCCGAGAGAGAGGAAAGCGAAAGAGGAGAGAGCACGAAGGACATTTCAAATAGAGGGCAAAAATATTCACGGGGCATGTTTAGGAGGAGGCCTGGTGGGAAGGATGGGATGCAAAGAGTACGTAAACTTAAAACAAAGTGTTCTTAAGTAAACCTAGACGCATTTTCGTTTTTTGATATGATCTACTTCTTGAAAAGGATTATAGAACGAATAGAGGGTCACACAGGGATGAACATCAGCCGGATTATGAAGCTTGGAGAGCTGAAAGAAATCGTATTGACGAGGATCGCATTAGCAGACAGAGAACTGCGGAGGGTAATTGGCGTAGAGAATGGGACAACGACAAGGTGAGAGCGCTGCGCAAAAAGGAACCGTGCGTCACCACCGTGACTGTGTAAATACGATGGATTACGTATAGATATAATTGCAGGCACACGTCGTGGACGAAGTGGCGAGATCTGAGGCTAAATTAGGGGATTATGTAAAAAAGGACTATAAAGACTTTGATAGAAGATACCACGTTAATGGTGAGAACCAATAGACGCTTGTTATACAAGCAGTAATACAAATCGCGGGATTTTAGATTATGTTTTCGTTCGTTGGATATACATATGTGCACACAATTGCTTTCTGCAGGAAATGATTATGCAAACCATAATCGCGGCGGTCATCGTTCCTATCGGGGAAATTCGAGACATTTTCATAATAATTATGAAAATTCTTCCAACGTGTATCATCAAGATGGGCATGTTAAAAATCCTTCCGGTCCCGAAAAGAGAACTGTCGTCGCTACCGACAAAAGTATAAAAGTTACGCTGAATCAAGGAAATATGACAAAAGGTCCAGTCATGAGTGTCAAAGGTACATTTTAAAAGTGACAATATAATACGTTCCCGAATGTAAAAGGTATTTGAAATAATTTTTTAATGTTATCGTTTCAGTAAACTCGCCAAGTATCGCTGGAACAGGACGAGTCGGGCCGCGACAAAGGAGTCGCATAACGTACAGCAGTCATTCAGACGTTGAAGTAACTTCCCCCGATACTGAGTCCTTTTCACGTCCAAAGTCGTTTGAGGACAGAACTAAAGGTGTCTATCATGAAAATCTACACAAGTCCCCCAATTCGCGAAAGTCGCAGCTCCCACCGAAAAAAAAGGACTTCAGCAATAAGTCTCCTTACTTTCGTAAGAAAGAGATTAGAAAGGAAGACGAAAGCCTGCAGAAGTATCAGGAAACGGAATCATCGCGAAAAGAACATGAGGAGTGGCAAACGTCTTATCAGTCTGAACTTGAAAAACCTGAGGAGACCACTACGGAGTCACTGGAAGATGATAAGATAGTGACGACTGCGAACGAGAAAGAAAGCAATATAATTTCTTCTGGAGAATCTGATGTGAATAATGTAGAAATAGAAAATAAGGATAATCAGAATGACAATTTGAATTCACATATAAATGAAAAGAGCGAGGTACATGCAGACAAAGAAGGTGAGCAGCTTGTTTTGCAGAATTTAGATTTACCCGCGTCTAAGATCGATACAGAGATTGAAACGTGTGAAGAAAATGGAAAGCTGGGAGACAAATTGGATGAGTCGCCAAATGTTCAAGCGATTGTGACATTCGAGCGCGAAACTATTGAAACAAATTTAACTACATCATCAGTAATAGATGATGATGATAAAAATGAGACTAAATATGTGGAACACTCGTCATGTGATGCTAATAAAGATACCAAGGAAACTGTACTGGAAAATGAACACCATAATTCAGAGCAAACTAAAGAAATCTTAAGCGATAACTGTGATAATAAACAAACTAAAGATATGAGTGAGCAAGAAAACGATGTTGAGCACGACACGAAAAGCTCTCCAGAAGAAAAAGAAGTAAACAGTGTTACGATTCCATCTTCAATCGATGTATATTGTATAGCAAAACAAAGTGATAAACTGAGAAGCGAGGATGAAGCCTTAAAAGAAGAAGAAAATTTGGCCATAGAAGATAAAACTGCTATTACAGACGAAAAGATTAACACTGATGATAAACGGGATTCAACAAAATGTATTAATAAAACTCAAGAACGCACAGATAATAATGAGAGAGAGATTGACGTTGCAAATAGCATTGTAGTTGATAAGATAGAATCTCTAAGAGAGGATTTACACGTAGAAGAAGAAAAGGTAGCTTTGAGTGACCAAGAATGAAAAAAATAACAGAGGGAAGTGTGAAGTAAAAATGTATGAAGTGTTATGATGTAACTGTAAGTTACCGATAGACAACGTCTGATAGGAGACAAAGCTTTTATAAATATTTGTTGAAATGCGTGATATATATTTCAAAAGTTAATTTTTATGGCAATATACGAGTTGAGAAAATCAAGTTATTCGAATAGTTCCCAACGAATTCTTATTTTTGGAACAAGCATTCGAGAATGTTACGTGGATGACTGCAAGTTTGCCGAGTGATAATATATTGTATGTAATTATATTTTTTTGTTTCAGAATTTTATATATATACATATATATAAATACTCTGTTATATTATATGTTTAATTTTATTTCTCTGATTCTCTTAAGATTGCTCTAAATTTCGAGTACTATGTAAATGCTACATATATGCAGTATGCTATATGTAGCACGTGTGTATATATATGTATGTATATATATGTATGCATATATACAGGATGTTCCAGACCTGCAGTGTTACCTGTTAATGGCAGATACCTAAGATTATTTTAAGACAAAAATATTAATATCAAAATGCCTATAATAGTTTTTAAATAAGAAGTTTTCAAAGTTGGCCAATCAGATTTGCACGCTCAGGCATGTCACATTGCAGTATATAATGAAAGTGTTTTAAAGCACATTATTTCTAGAGAAAAGAATAAATGAATTGATGCGCTTGAAAATATCTTCACTACTGTGCAACGTGACATGACTGAACGTGCGAATTTCGGACAACTTGATTGGCCAACTTTGAAGACTTCTTATTTAAAAACTATATATTATAGCCTCGACATTTTGGTATTAGAATTTTCGTCTTGAAATAATCTCATTTATCTCAGGTATCATTAACGGGTGGCACAGCAAATTTGGGACATCTATATATACATACATATAACGTGCACAATTTTAACAGAAACAGCGCTTTTATAACAGAAAAAAAATAGCAAAGTTACTGTGTATGACATCTCCGAATTTTTATATGAAATGTAACCCGAAAGAAAAATTCACTCCTGTTCAAGTGACAATCAAAGAATATTTTAGCACAAGCAATAAAAAAAAACGGGATGTTTCAGATCGAGAACAGCTGTGAAATTAACAAATTCTAACTAGATTTAACAATGATTATACCTAACATTAGAGCAAAAGCAACTTTTACGGATCGACAATGTTATTTGAATTTATTTATATATTATATATATTATATATATCTATCTATTTTTTTATTTATATATTGCATTAATATTTGTTTTTTAATCTTTGTTTCGTTCGTTGCTTGTATGATTCGTTGACATACTATTAGGTAACTCCTGGAGGCTCATGCGACTGAAAATCATATCTGAATTGATCTAGTTGAATTTCATCGAAGGAGTAAAATCATGTAGAATATACGCACATATTCGATTATTAATTTTTTATACTTCATATATCATATTAGAGATAGTAATTAGGCTCGTCGGAAACGACGATAATGCATAAGTGAGAATTTTAGATTTTCTCAAGAGCACTTCTTTTGAACCTAACTCTGTTGTCTAATATATAAACTTTTTATTTTCCTTGTTAGGAAAAATGACGTTGCCATATCCATAATGTTTGGAATTTCAAGCCTCCGTAATTCTGTTACTTTCAGTCATAGCTTTCAGTCATAGCATTTCTGAGATTATTCTATTGTGAAAAATAGTAATAAAGCATTGTTAATAAATCTAATTACATATATATATGTGTTGACTAATGAAATATCCACTCAATTTATCCTTCACTTTTCCTGCTACAAATATATGCATCTAAGTAAGCAAGAGCAATTCAAAACAAAATTTAAGTCTGTGTTGAAAACAAATTCTTGCAGGTGTGATTCTGTAAAGAAACAATATGTGTATTATATTATACCGGGTGAAGTAAAATATGCCCGTAAAATTTTGTTAATATATTATCACTCCTCGTACTCATACGGATAATGTATTTTCATATTTTTTTTTTCATAATACGGAGGCCGCTTTACATCATTTTATAACGTTTATAGGTATATTCTGCCTACACAACACACCGATGAGGTTTGCTCTTCGCGAAAACGCCGCGAAATATATGAATATTTCTGCAAAAGAGCTTTGGAAGCCTATACGTGCTTGGTTTCGTCCGCGTCAGAACATCATCTCGAAGTATCTCATCGTGATTAGCATTATCTAGTTGGAACAACTATTTATCTGGATTTTACAACGGATTTTATGTTGCAGCATTCTATTTTTCTCAGGCCGATAAGAGAGATTCTGGAAGACATTATTGGGAGGCTCTCTCTCTCTCTCGTTTCGCACGATATATCAAAAAGCAAAATTAAATTTTACACGACAAACATTACCGATCTATCGTCGTTCGATAATCACGAAGAGAAGATACCAACGCAATTCTCATTCAACCACTTTTGATCATTATTGTTGATACAATGGAGTAGGATGATCCCTCGTTAACGATCTAAATTGATTTCGTGAACAGCGTGACTTTACTTACATTATGTGTCATTGATATATTCATTGATATGAAACATCAATTATGCATATGACCGTAACTTATGAGTTAACTCTTAACGTCTACAATTCTCAATATAACGCTTAATATCATTCGACAAAGATTCTTTGCTCAATAAATAGTAATACATCATTATCATATAGCGATATTGTTATTATTTTTATCAATATTATCGTTCTGGAAGACATTATTGGAAGACTCGTTTCACGATTATTAACGCGTTTTAGTTAGCCTGCGAATTTCCCGTGTCTGCAGAACGCTCGTGTGGCTTTGAGGAAAGAAAAAAAAGCAAGATCTCAAGGATTTTTAGAAAGAGTATTTTTAAAAGATTTACATATCCAAAAGCTTATCAAAAACCAATTCAATTATTCAAAGAGTCTATAATCTGTGAATCTAAAAATCTATCAAATCAAGCATCCACGCCATTAAACATTAGTTATCTTGAGGATCCATAAATGTCAAGAGTCCAAAATTTTATAAACTCATTTCTGGATCTTGAAAAAAAAATGTAGCACGTTGCTAATTGTCCGTACAGAATAAATTTTTACAAGACGTATCCCGTATATAAAATACTTCTCGAGCCATCGCGGCATTCTGCAGTTTCACGGAACGACTACATTGTCTATACTCCTTAAACTAACGATCTATACGATCTTGGAAGACGTTGGATTATATAACTAATTGTACTCGGTTGTACATAACTGTTCACGCATCGTCTTGCGTCTCGTTTGTTCCGGCGACGGGACGGCGCACGGCGGACTACTTTATTCCAAAAAGTTATTTGGCAGATTCATCATCGGCTAAAAGGCTGTCGCTAACGTAGCATGACAAAGTCGTGCTCGTCCGTCCCGTCGTCGCGATTCACAATTCGACGCGTCGCATAAAAATTATTACACGGGTATGTAACTCCGCAGCGATACAATTATAAAATCCAGAAAACTGTAACAGTAGTCAACTACTAGTTAGGCTGCGCTCTGCTTGCTGCTGCATCGTGGAAGACATCGTTACTTATCGTGCTTTATTGTCACACGTTCAATGCGCGTTTGATCTCTCATTTTATCTAAAGGCTCCCGAAATGCAAATGCATAAATCGGGCATTGGAAGACTTGACGACTGGATAAATTCCTCGCTTTATAGAAACGTCGCGATCCCGGCCGAAACGTGAAACGTACAACGGAATTTTTAACGGCTCTAAGGAGCCAATAATCTTCCTTCTGAAAAAAGAGAACGCTACAGTTGGGTTTAGAAAATATTACGTTCTCGTCTAATTTTGATTTTTCACGTCTCTAAACGTCAGCTCGCTCGAAGCTATCATAACTGGGAAAATTGGTGTGTTAAATGTGAATCTGCGACGTGAAAAACTAAAACGTGCCATTACGAAAGCACAGATCGTGCGATAGATTTTTACACGAATGGGGAGACGCTTTTACACTTTAATGGCTTGATCAATTAAAGATCGTTTTTAAGAAATATAACTGCGCCATTTCGTAAAAATAATAAAGACGTTAAAATGATGCGTGATAGGAAATAGGTATAGAGTTACACGCGATGCAAAATTCTCATACTAATTAATCACCCTCGAGCACGTGAAATATTTGATCCTCGACTGACATGTTTCAAAATCAGAGACATTTCTTATAATTTTATGAAATTTTTAGAATTGCGTTTATAGTTAAAAAGGACTTCGCAATGATATACATATTTTTTTTTTAAATTTGGTACTAGTACACTTTGTAAAAAAAACAAGCTTCGTTGATTATTAATCAGAATGTTATTCAGAAAAATTTCAAATTTTTTCCAAAGCACAAAATTCTCAATTATCCGTTCTTCTGTTTTGAATTTTATGTAGTCTCCCGCATGCATCAGCAATTATTGCACGAGTACCGAGCAACGTGTTGAAATTCGAGAGTCAAATATTTCGGCGGCTCGAGAACGTTTCGGCAATATCATATTTTGGTGCGAGACAAGAACAACAAAAGGACCTAGCTGGCGCGAGATCGCTCAGAAGGGCAGGCCGATCTCGAAGGCATCGATCAGCGCGGAGCCGGAATCGTAGACGCCGATCACGCCGAAAAGAATACCGAGGAAGATGACGAAGCAATCGTACGCTACGGCGCTCCACTCCATCGAGTTCCTCTTCAGTTTCAGATGGAAGTAGCAGGGCCAGATGAAGGAGAGCATGGTGCCGGTAAAGGAGCCGATGAAGCCCATCAGGATGCTGAAGTGCGGTATGAAGATTGCCATCAGGATGGTAAACACGATCACGCCGACCCGCCAGGCCAGGCCCCAGACCTTGAGCTCGCGATCCACCGTCCAGATAGTCGGGAAAAGCGTCTTCGGCCGGCCGCGGAAGAAGGCGCGCTCGAGAAGCTCGCAGGCCGCGTAATACGGCAGCGGGTACGAGAGCACCGCTTTGACGACCAGGCACAGGTTCACCAGGCCCTTGAAGCCGGCCGAGTGCAGGTTGTTCGTGATCACCTGCTGCGTGTCGTTCTGAAAGGTCAGGAAGCAGATCCAGCCGAAGAGCGACTTGAACGCGGCCGCGGCAATGTGGCTCCAGTTCAACATCCAGTCGAACTTGGAGCGATCGATGAGATTGCCCTCGAGGGTCGGCAGGAAGATCTGCGACGTATAGCTGAAGACAATGACGCCGAGCGAGATCGGGAAGTTCTTTATGTCGATCGTCCACTTCACCTTCGACCAGCCCCAGTCACCAATCTCCAGGAGACAGTAACCGATGATGATCGCATTGATGAAGAGGTGAGACATTGTGCACCAGAAGCTCAACACGGATACGTGCTGCAGGGACTTGAGGAAGCCGAGCGGCAGCAGAAATATGCCGATCAGCATCATCCAGCTGCGGGTGTCGATCGCGCCCTCGGGAAAGGTGCCGATCATCAGGTCGCCGCATACGACCACGTACAGAATGCAGGTCATCAGCAGCTCGATGATCTGCGCGATGTTGACGGCGCGGGCGCCCCACGTTGGCCCGAAGCACACCTTGGCGATGGCCACGTACGAATCACGTACCCGCACACGTTGCCCCGTCACCGTGTCCAGCTCGTACAGGCACTCGACCAGGATCTTGCCGGTGTAGCAGCAGATATGCGCGATCCCGACCATCGCGGCGATCGCCCAGTAACCGCCACGTAGAACGGCGAACGGCAGAGAGACGATAAACATTCCCTGAAAAATTCGCGTGAAAACGGATGATTCACGGATAAATACAATTGTATAATAATTTCCTTTTACGACGAGACTTTTCACAACTAAATGTTACAACATCGCAATAACGTTTCTCAGCTTCTATATAAATGGATATAGATTCTATATTGTCTTCCATTCAAAGGCAGAAGCTGTAGAAAATTATTGTACAATTGCATTTTTCTGATACAAATTTTATTTTTCCTTTCCACGTTAGTGAAAAGAATTTCGCATAGAGCTACCGGAAACTCCGTCTTTGACCCTGCATATGTACCTGAATGGCATTTGTAACGTTCCAAGCGGCTTGCCACTCGTTGATCTTGACACCTGGCCCGCCGAACTCTCCGCCACCCTCGTCGTACTCGCTGAACTCACCGCTGCTTACGCTCCCGGTTCGAACTTTGTCCCTGAAATCGGAGCGAGATGTGGATGATGAATTAAAACCTGAGATAGGAGACGGGAAGTGAGTTCCGACTGGGAAACGCGATGCGATCCTTACCCGCTCCTCTGGTAGCTGAAGGAGTCCTCGGCGATCCCGACATTGTTCTGATCTCGATACGCCCGATCCCCGTTCATGGTCATCATCTCGGTATTGTCGTGACCCTCGTCGAAGGACTTGAACTGGGCATGGCCGGGCTGGCCTTGGGGATGGCCCTGGCCCATACCGCCACCGCCGACGCCGCCGCCGCTGCGGATCAGCTCCATGCACGGACTGTTCTCCGGCCACATGGCCTTCAACGTCTCCCAGGCGACGTTGACCGTTGCGCCGAAGGTGGGTATATAAAATCCCCGGAAATTCGCCATTTCTCCCTATCTGTTGCTTCTACGGCGGATATGTTTAATTCCTTACAGACGCGGCCCGGCACGTAAACTGGGTACAGTGACTGAAGAGATGTAGGGGGTGAAGTATAGCATTCCCCAGCGAGGTAAATGGGGTGTCGGACATTACTTCGGGCTATCCAAATTTTTATCGTCCGGGTCTTGCAGGTGTTGCAAATACAGAGAATATATGCCAGTGGTGAGTAAAATGTGTTAAATTAGTAACGAGGGGAACGAGGGGGACGTGCAAGGGGGATGCGTTTGTGGGTAGATCGAGCATGGAGGGTGGGAGGGCTTCTCTCTCTCATTACATAGAAGTCTCAGAGTCCTTAATGTTACAGATTAGTTCGTACTGGCATTATCAATGAGACAATCGTGCTTACCAAATGGAGAATCTGGTGCCCGCCTCGGATGTTCCTCCTGGGAGATCCCGGCTCCTCGACTCCCCGACGATTCGAGCCTCGCGCAGCGCGGAAATGAGAGACTAAACTAAAAACGGCCCCGGTCGAAAGCGAGGCTTCATGAAGACGCAAGAAGGAAAGAAAGAAAGAAAATAATAAGGCGGAGAAGAGGTCGAGAGACGACGACGACGACGACGACGGGGGAGACGCGAGACTACCTAACTACCCGGATTGTGGAGCCGCATGATGACGACGATTCCCGTACGATCTACACCGCGGCCTGCGAAGCCAGAATCGCGGAGGCGAACCCGTCGATCCGCGGCATCGACCAGCAGCGGGGACCACGGCGGCGTTTCAAGGGATCGGGGAGATCCGCGGGGGTAATATGGCCAGCCTCCCCCGAATGCGCAGGATTCGATCGATGCTCTCCGCGAAAGAGAGAGACGTTATCGTCATCTCGCGCGTGCCTCCCGCGCCGTGTATCCGCGAGGCACCCCCTCGCAAACGGGGGTGGGATAAGACCCGCCGACCCTTGAGCCACGCGCAAATACGCGGATCATCATGCGTGACTTCGCTCGAATTAATCGCGGAGGCGATTGTTAGATCCCGCTCGCATCCCGTTTTCCTCTTTCCAAGATGGAAACAGATCGCACGCTTCTCGTGAGTGAAGCTGACGCGATACACGACGTTGGGATTTGGGGTTGATGACCGCGACGACAGAGAGATACAGTTGTCTCTTCGAAGAAACGCTTGGATCACTTTATTCGTATTATTATTAACCACACAATCTTGTTGTATCAAATAGATAAAGTAGATTAGACATCGAGAACTTGATGCGCTCTTAATTAAACTTACGGAATGAGATTGTAGTTATGCAGCAGCATCGTGGGAAGAAATCCTTTAGCGATATTGTGGTTCGAAGGTTCAAAATTGTAGTATATCTGATCAATCGTGATTCAATTGACGTTTTGCAATTGCGAATTTCTAACTTGCGAAGAGTTTTTATCAAGCCACGATGAACCGATTAAAATTCCATAGCTATAAGAAATAAATTAGGATACTTTAGACCACGAAGAAACGCATGCACGCTTCGCTTGGAAATGACATAGTCCGGATGTTTCAATAAATAAAGAAACCAACTTATTTATTATTCACCTTATGCGCTTCGCTCTGGATAATAATTACAGACAAAATTGGCCTTAACAATTCTTTTAAATTGTTTGCGTCCCTGCGGGTGGAGCTCGCATTGCATTGCGTTTTCTTTTTACTTTTCCTCGCAATATGCAATTGTGGTATTAAAATGAACGGTTGCTATAAGGATAAATGTCCTCGGTAACAAGATAGGATCCACGAAGACACAACTGAGCTTACACGAGGAGCTCGCGATTTTTTTCACTTTTCTTTCTACGAGCATATAAAGTAATTAAACTACGCAATTAACGGCCTATATGCGATAGAACACGCTTCTTAAGTACTAGAAAGAGAGAGAACGTGTGCACTTTTAATACAAAATGTCCAAGTATTTATAATCACTAAGTGCTAGCTCAACGTTTTTACTAATCTCCTGCTTCTAGACTAATGTAATGCTTTATAATTCTGATGCAGCCAAGTCATTACATAATTCTGAAATTATTTGTTTAGGAATTGCAAGAAATCGTGACGTATAAAATTTAAAATATTTATCACAAAAGCATATGGAGAATATATGTTGTAATTTAACATATATAGATATCATGAACACAAATATTCTCAATACCTTAAATTAATCCTCAAATATTCTAAATCATAACAATCCTCTCCCTTTTATACGTAATACAGACGATGGTTAATAAATACTTGAACATTATGTCAGAATTTTGCCAGAAGGAGGCAAAAGCATAAAGTAAGATAAGATAATATTTCTGTTATGCTTAACGTAATGGCACGCGAAAAGCTAATATATCTCGACATATAGAAGAGATTCCAATGATTTATCTTCCTTATGTCATAATTTAACGCGGCTGTAGGAAACAGGAGCCTTAAGAAGCACGTTTCGTCGCTTATACAAATAATTGCCAAGCTCAACTGTTTCATGTGTTTGAAAACGGCGAAAGAGATCAGCGAATCGTACGCTACGAGAAATCCTCGTTGGCTCTGGTGAATATTACGAAAGATACGTGTACATCAATTAATTTACTAAATAACAATATTTCCTCCGTTTAAAAACAAAACGTAAAAAAGATCGTGATTCATTGCATGATTGCGTTCGATCTCGTGACTCGGTTGCCGCTAAATCGTACAATTAACTGAAAGTTTCTCTTAAAATAAAATCGATATTTGTCAGTCTTCCATATCTTTTATTTCTTTCTTTCCGGATGAGAGGCTACCACCAACGGAGAAAAAGTAACGACGTTATGTACATAAGTTCGCGAAAGTGAAGAAGAAAAAAGAAAGCCATCTCTGGTATTTATGTGCAAGAATGATACACACACGCGCACGTTGGCAAATGTACAAACATCGAAAATATGTGATACATCTATCGAGGTCACGCGCGATGTTACGGCCTAGACTTTGGGCGAAAGAAAAGGTACGAGCTAAGATTTGTATTTAAATAATACAGTCATCTATGTATAGCAAAAATTATTTTGTACTATAACTACGTTGACCCATCATATACAATATTCCCATCGATGAAATTGTACGGTGAAATTCCACGCCGCTGAACGAGCATCGCTGAATTGCGACTTTACAGCGTCAGAACAATGGACCTAAAACAATCAGTGTCATTCGATTTTCCAAACCGACGATTTGGAAATAAAAGAAGAGCGTGTTACATGTTCGAGAGTGTGGCATTCCTCAATGGGGGCTCTTTCCCATAGAGAACCAAGGAACAAGCGTTCTGTTCTGTTTTTTTTTTTCAAGCGAGATTAATATGTCGCTATATATATTATGACAAAATGTAATTACCGTCAAGATATATCACGCTACAATTAACGACAAAATGCAGTCATTCGATCATATACGCATATATTTCTTCCTTATGATTTGATTACTTTCAGTTTTAGCACATGAACGCACACGATTCGGCTTCACAAATTTCGTACAAAAATCGCTACCGGTATAAAAGGTATTCCGATTGTCTTTTCATCGTCAAATCTCAAAAAATAAGACAATGATTGTTTCATTTCCAAAGGTATCGAGATCGTCTCGTCTGTAATAATCTAATAAGGAAGTGCTAAGCCGTCTCTCGATCTGAGCGTGAAACTTCGAAAGCGTGGAATTTCGAAAGTAGAATAATTTGATTACTTAGAGACTAAACTTAAAGGAAACCAATGGAAATGTTCGTCGCGGTGAACGAGGCTGCAAAATTGCAATTCGCACGCGACGTACTCACTCGCTCACGTCCCTCTGCGTCTGATGGGAGTCGCTGCTCGAAATTAGGCTCTCGATCGCGCTGTCCTGTTGCGAAATCGTCTCCGAGCTCCTGGTCGTACAAAGTTTGTTGGCTTTAGCTTCTACGCGATTGCATTTAAGATTCGGATCTATCAAATTTGGATTCGACGCGGAATGTATAGAAACGTTAGGCTGAGCGGGCACCGGTCGTTGACACGAGTGCAGCATTAGCTCTGGTCCACCGCCGTACGTAGTCAGGAAGAATTGCCACAACTCTTCGGGGATCTGACCGTAATCCGAGCCTACGAAAAGAGAGAATATGTTAAAGAGAAATAAAATAAAACATTATAATCTTTTTTCATAATCTGACAATTACGACTTGACAATCGTTTCGAGATGAAAGAAGACTTGCTTATTTGTCGAGATAGAGGAAGACTTACCAACTTTAAGACTATTTTGCCCATTTTTATTTACAACGATGGAATTATTATCGATTGGTCCAGGTGGCTGCGTCTCCTTGCCTCGGACGAAGCTCTGCCACTGTCTCAGCCATGCCATGGCCAATGCATAAATGGCCGTGGGATTGTCAGTATTCAATCGTTGGAACAGTTCCATCTCGTACTGTCTACGTTTCTGCAAGGATTCGTACTTCTCTTCGCAGGTCGGACACTCGTACAGATGCGTGCAGGCTGGGCCTCCTCCAAATCTGAAAAAATAAATGAAAATTTTACATATAAATATAAAAGCACAATATAAAAAGAAATAATAACATCATCACAGAGACTTACGCATTATACAAGTATTCCCAAACCGCTTGCGGTATGGGCATGCTGATCTTGTCGACGAATTGCGCCCTAACAGGGATTACACCTCCGTGAGGACATAGGAAGTCGGAGTTATCGATCGGACCAGGCTCGGAGAACGTGTTGAAGCGATTGATCCACTGCCGGGACACGAAAAAGTTCAGATCGGACACCTCGCGGGACGATATCTCCATCAGCTCCATAGTTTTGTCGCGCAACTGCAATATTTCCGGTGACCATTTTTTGTAGAACAAAACGTACGCCTCGCAGTGCTTCACCGTTTCCGGCGACACCTCGGTGACGCACTGGTCGTCGAACTCGTACCACTTGTTGGCAATGGGATTTAACGCGTAACAGGTGTAGTGGCCACCGCCGGCCGTGCCGTGGTGGCAAATGACCGATATCAAATTGTAAGTGGTGACTTTGGACACGCACTCCTTGTGCAAATAAGGCCTCATGTCGAGACCCTCGAGGGGGAACGATACGTAGTTGGCGATCTTCGAGCTGAACATCAGCTCGTGGCGAAACCTCTTCAAATGAACGCACAGTATCTCGGGTAGTTCCAGAACCTTGGAGAACTTGATGCCGTTGCGCAGCTTATTGCACTTCTCGCAGCTGTACATGTTATCGCCCTTGAGCTCGTCGGCGCTAAAAAATGCTGACAGGCAGTCGTGCAAACTGACCACTGGTCCCCAGAACCACGAGCGCATCCACTGCAGGAACCACGACAGCCAGCCCGACTGATTGGTCACGTAGACCACGTCCGAGCACGGCCCGGCTTTCTGCGGCGTCAGCGATCCCTGATGCAGCATGTCGATGTGATCTCGGCTCGGGATCGGCAAGGACAGATCTTGGAAGGTCTCCACTCGGGTGGAAATCCGATCGCACGTCAGGCACTGCACGCTACTCAAGAGCTTGCCGTCGAACGTGTCGCTGATTATGCTGCGCGTCTTCATTTGCTTCTTGGTACGATGTTTGGCCGGCGAGTTTTGCGGCGAGCGTTGCGGCGGGGCGAACGGCAACGACGTCGGCTCGACATTCGACTTCTTCATACTCCTGTTGGTGAACTTGTTCCGCAGCTTCTCCGTCTGCGACACGCGCGAGTAACGCCTCTTAGTGCCGCGCTCGCCCTCGTCGCTCAGAGAACTCTGCTCGCTCACGCCCGAGTCGCAGGTCTCGTATTCGGCGTCGGACTGACTGGAGGCATTACCGTCGATCTCGGTCTCGTCCTCGTCCTCCGAGGACTGGTCTCCCAGCCCCTTTAGTCGCAGCTGAACGTCCCTGTCGTCTTCGATGTGCTCTTTCAGCTCCTCGTGCAGCTGGTCCATGAAACACCTGAGAAATTCCTGCGTGTCATGTTGATGGTACCCTCGAAACATCGGATGAACCGTCCTGATGCCCGAAAGGATACCGTGCGGCACAACGTATCCTCTGGTTTTCTTGTTCCACATATCCCGAATGAGATTCAGATAGTTCAGGCTCAATCCGGGTTTCCTGTCTTTCGACATGTAGCAGACCATATGGCCGCAATCCAAGAAAAACTGCGTCAAGGGAGACACATTGGACAAGGCTTGTAGCGCCGCATTCATGTAACACGTATTGCCGATGTTCTGCAAGCCCACCAGACCCCTTGGCTTCCCAGAAAAGTCCTTGCTCTCGTCCGAATCCGTACTATCGGGAGAATCCCCGCATCGTTCGTTAAATGAATTTCCTTTCTCAGCATTGACTCTGTTTATCGCCCAATCTCCATAAAACCTGTTGACAAAAAAAAAGACACATTAAGTGTTTCTTTTTTTTACAAAATTCTAAACTTAATTCACATTCGTCTGGACATATATATCGTAGTTACTCAGAACGAATGCTTGCTACTAAATGGAAATATGAACAAAATCAATAATCGATAATCACTCTAAGATCATCAATCAACCGAGTTCTCGAGATTTACTGTTTTTAATTCAACGATACAATTTATTTCAGAATAAGAATGCACAGGAATGCGCGGGTAAACATTTTAGCATTGGAAGTTTGTACAAAACTTTTGGCTTACTTGTCGAGCATCAGCCTGTCCAAGCCGTCCAGCTTGGACTCGACGCTGCCGGGAGCGTCCCCGGCGTACTTGTTGCCGATAGTCCTGAACTCGATTTGCGTCGGCGACAAGGGGGGCGACGGCACGTGCTTGGTGATCGCCTCGCTCTTGCAGGCGTAGCACCAGATCCTGTTGGTGGACAGGTTCATGTGGGCGCAGTGGGTCGGGAAGTTCTGGTTGTGGATGGTGCTGTGATCGAGGTGGGTCTCCGCGCAGCCGACCCAACGGCAGTCGGGAAACAGGCAGAGCCAGAGATTGGGCCCCGGGGTGTCGCAGTCGCTGCACTTGGCGAAGCGCTCGTCCCGGGCCATCACCGCCTCGATGAAGGCGAGATCGCCGCGGTTGGCCAGATGCGGGCAATTCCTCACGACCAACGGCATTTTGTTTTTCTTTCCTCCTCTTTCCCAGGGAAAAGGGTTAACGAAGGGTCGACGCCTCCCTCCTCGGGGCGCAATGACGCTCTCTCGCCTCTCCGGTCTCTCACGTCACGTCCCCGTTCTCGCACACGCGCGCGCGCGCGCGCGACAATCCGAGCACTCCCGTCCCGCGACTACGCGCGGCTCGTGACAACGCGTGCCACCGTCAATACTGTCATCGTCACGCTGTCGCCGCTGTTGTTGATCATCATAATTGTTGCTGCCATCCTCTAACCTGATCGTGACATTCGTATCATTCGTATGATACTTGGGCTGCGTTCGGAAACTTCACCCAGGTGCACCCGCCGAGCCCAATATAATCTCGTGTAAACGGACCATTAAGATCCGTTCAGACGGATTGCCACTCGTAGGACCAATCGCCAATCGCCAATTGGAAATTTTTAGCAATTCTATCGATTGGATCGAATCGTCGATTTCTATGAATGTTTCTATAAATGCAGATTAATTTTTAATCTCGGTTTAACTTAATTTTTATCTTTTTTTAATTCTTATGTCTATTTCTACCAATTTAAAATATACATTAATTTTAATCTCCATTTAATTTACTTCTATCTTTTTCTAATTCTTGAAGTTGGAAAATTTTCAAAATTATTTTTTATAAAATAATTATATATATAAAAGATCTAGAATTTTCCATATTTTAAATTTGTAAATATTTCTAAAAAATTATTTTTAACTACTTATATTCTTCATCTTCAAATTTTAAAAGTTTTCTTCAGAAATTATAGAATATAGAAATTTTTTAATATTTCAAAAATTACATAATTAAATGTAAACAATTTTAGAAAAAATGTAGACTTTTTCAGATTTCCGAAAATGTTCCAATTCGTATAAATAGGAATTTTGAAAAATAATTTTAATAAATGTATAAAAAAAATCATTTTAAATAAAGAAAAATTTTCACCATGGAGTTTAAACATTTTTGTGCAAAATGCACGAAAATACACATAAATATTTTTATGGCTGTTAAATAATTTGGGAATAAAAAAATTATATTTTACATAAATATTTGAAAAAGTAAACTTTTGGCTTAAAAAATCGGATATTTTCTCATCCATTTCTTTACACACTTCCGTTTTCCGTCGTACTTGGAAATATCCGTTCTCGTTTCGTTTTCAACATAAAAAAAGTGTAAAAGGTGTAAATTGGTGTAAATGAGAACAGATCAATGATCAATGAACCACGCTGGGCGACGTCTCTTCATAAAAAGGGTAACTTAAGTCAACAAATTACGCGTGGTTTTTCGCAATTCTATACTCAATCCGTTCGTACAGATATAGGCAGGATTTATCTTTGCGCGAGAATAATTATTTAGGTAACGATCGGAACGATATCGGTGTTTTTTTTAACTAACATTTCAGAATACTAACCTACAAGTTAACCTATCACCCTCATTTCTCCAATTAACGCCTCGACTGGAAACTTCTCGCGAAAAAATAAATGATCAGTTATATATATATATATTTATATTTTTGCCAAATACCGTTTCTCGTACCACTAGGGTGTCGTTTTTAACGCCACCCGTATTGTACGATCTCACGTGTTTTTTTTCAGTGAAACATGGTGCTGTCGTGTCGATTTTACAAGGAAAAGTATCCGGAGGTGGAGGATGTGGTGATGGTGAATGTACGCAGTATAGCCGAGATGGGCGCGTACGTGCACTTGTTGGAGTACAACAACATCGAAGGCATGATCCTGCTCTCTGAACTCTCCAGGAGACGTATTAGGTCTATTAACAAACTTATCCGAGTAGGCAAAACCGAGCCGGTCGTTGTTATTCGTGTGGACAAGGAGAAAGGTAGTTTTCATTGCGGACGTTTTTTTTACTGGTTTACATAAATCGTCAATGTCGAAGTGACGAAAGATATATATCGTGGATTCCAGGTTACATCGATCTGAGCAAGCGTCGCGTGTCCGCCGAGGATGTAGAGAAGTGTACCGAGAGATACGCCAAGGCTAAAGCTGTCAATTCAATTTTAAGACACGTGGCAGAACTTTTGCACTATGACAATGATGATCAGCTGGAGGAACTCTATCAGAAAACGGCCTGGCACTTTGAGGAAAAGTACAAGAAGCAGAAGGCGTCGGCTTATGATTTTTTCAAACAATCAGTATTGTAAGCAAAATCCAATTTACAAGCACGAGATGTATTCCGGTATATCTAGAAGATGTATCTGTGAATGTGAACAATTTTAGGGATCCCTCCATTTTAGCCGAATGCGGTCTGGATGAAAACACGAAGGAGGTGTTACTGAATAACATCAAGCGAAAACTCACCTCGCAAGCGGTGAAAATTAGAGCGGACGTGGAAGTAGCGTGTTACGGCTACGAAGGAATCGACGCTGTGAAGACCGCGCTGAAGGCTGGCTTAGCTCTTTCCACCGACGAACTTCCCATAAAAATTAATTTAATTGCTCCTCCGTTATACGGTACGTTTTACATTTATCTTTCGAATCAATTGCACTATGATCACAATGTTTTATCTTATATAATATATGATCATTTCAGTCATGACGACGTCCACCCCGGAAAAAAGTGACGGCTTAAAGGCGTTAGGCGACGCCATCGAAGTCATACAGAGTAAAATAACGTCGCTTGGTGGTGTATTCAATGTTCAAATGGCAGTAAGTTTCACGGACGAGCATATTAATCTAATTCATTCGCGTAATAAGGGAACTATACACCGTTTCTTGTCTGTGATATTAGCCGAAAGTCGTTACCGCGACGGACGAGGCGGAATTGGCGCGGCAGATGGAACGAGCGGAACTCGAAAATGCGGAGGTTGCCGGTGACGACGAGGATGAGCTGGAAGGAATGGAGGGTGATTTTAGTGGTGGTGAAAGTACCGAACGGAACAGCAAAGGTATTGAACAGAATGGCAAAGCGATCGACGAGGACGACAAAGAAGATCTGTCCGAGGAAGAAAATTGAAGATATATATATATATATACATTTACATATATATAGATATAAATATATATATAAATATATATATATTTGTGAAAATAATAAAGTACACATTCGATTAACCGACAGATATTTGCATGTGTTTCTCAATTGCAGGTAGAATTGAATAAAATATTCTACTGTCTTGCTGGACATGCCAGCATGATGTTTCAATAAATACGAACATGAAAGGTGTAAAAAATTAATTATTGTAATTTATATGGAAACGAGATTTTTTACTGACTTGGTATACAATAAACGATCTGAAGGCAGATGTTTTTATTTTTGACAAAGAGAACTCCATTGCATTGTTCCAATTATCCGTTCATAATGAATTGAGTGTTATTTAAAAAATAATTGCGAATTAAAACAGAAAGAAAAGAAACGCGGTTCTTAATGTTAAAATGTGTTTTGAGCCTTTTTTGGTCATATTAATGTAGGTGTTTGCAGATGTATCAATATACGTTTGAAGTTTTTATTAAAACTGTATTTTTTATTAAAACTGTAGTTTTAATGACATCGTTTATTCATTAGCAATCGTCACTTCCACCTCTACGCCAGGCTCGATGGAGATGCTCGTGATTTGTTTCACAATCTCAGACGGCGAATACAAATCGATCACTCTCTTGTGAATTCGCATCTGGAAGCGATCCCAGGTCTTCGAACCCTCGCCGCAAGGTGTTTTGCGGGTCGTTATTCGCAGGATCTTCGTTGGCATGCGAACAGGTCCTTTCACCTTCAATTTTTGCTTCTTTGCTCCATTGATCAATTCCGCGCACACTGAAACAAAAATAATAATAAGTTATTAGCATTTAATTGTCAAATAATTAGCCGAATAATTTCATTTGCCAAAAATAAATGATACTTTTGAGTTCGACTCACCTTTCTCGAGGGACCGAACGTTGCGCGACGTGAGAGTGATACGGATTCGATGAATGGGAGTGACCTCCTGTCCCGGTTTCTCGGGATTATCGACCTTGGTCGTCGCCTGAGAAATTAAAAAAAAAAAGAACATCTATCCTTTTACAGACATAATATACAAAGTATTCGCGGTACATTAATAACAATTTCAGTTCTTTTTTTTTAATACTTTGCAAATATACATCGCGTGGACGCTTGTTCGGAGCGGGTCCTGTTCGGCTTCGGTTCGCCTAACCTAAATCGGCGACCCGACGCGACGCGTACGACACGTATATCGTCGCCACGGCAGAATTAAGTTTCTAAAATTGTTAAAACAACGTTGCCCGAAGCACTTACCATGATTGATCCTTCGTACTGGTCGAGATAACCAATTTATATCGAGCAAAACTGATCAGCGCTGAACCAGTACTCCAATAATTTCCACGTGCAAGACGTAAAGAGAGGGTTGGGCGCGTGGGCGTCGGGCAGCGCCACTTCCGCGACGATGACCGGAAAGACGACCATAACCTGCCTGGCGTTTGTCCACGACATAACCTCAAATTCGTTCACAGCGAAACGTGGGGTACATACGTGCGGTGTGATGTAAACGATGCATATTTTAAATGACAATAATGACTGACAGTAATATCGGCTTGAAGAACGTTATCGATTAGTGAACAAAGTGTCGCAAGATGATGATGCTCGTACGTGCGTTATAAATGTATATATATAAACACACGAGTTACCTTCCAGTTTTGTCCAAAGACCCGAGAGGTATTTGCACCGTAATAGGTATACTTTTATTAATAAAAATCTGATAAAATGAGTCTCGCAATGATTCAGAGGCTTGTGATATCGAGCTGCCGAGGTAAGATTGACATTGACGGATTACGAAGGGTTGCGTCGAGCCTGAGGATCTTGCATGGAAGCACGGCAGTGATAAACGCCTGGTTCCCTCCCGCGCATTACACGTGCGTAATTCACAGGAAACCTTTTCACGATTCTGCAATCCGCTCGGAACGAATTAACGCAAAAGAGAACGAACGTGAGGTCGTAGATGACATATCCGCGTTTCAAATAAAAAAGAGACCGTCCAGGAGAAACAGAGTCGCGATAAGTGACAAGATTCTAAAGTCTAATGTAAGTTTGTTGTATGAGGAATTAGGGGCGTTGCCTCGCGCGATCGCCTTGTAAACGAGAAAAATGAGAGGAATTATGTGTGAAAGAAATTTTCTTTATTATATATAGGCATGGAGCGTGAAAGCCTTAGCCACCGCCGAGGAATATAATTTGGAAGCTTTAGCTTACGGCCTGTTGGATCAACAGTTGTATATTCCTAGTAAAATATCTACATCGACCGATCGTAAGTATCTTTAATCTAACTGGGGTTTCTCGACGTTTCTTCTTTTCTTCTTTTCTTGTGAAATAATATCAATAAAAAGAGTTGAGTAAGCGATTGCGTGAGATTGCGCGAGATTGCGAGAGATTTCGTGAGATTGCTCGAAGTGAACGTAAGTTTTTTTAAGCTACACTGAGTGTATCGACCTTTTCGAGTTTATCACTGTCCCGTTCTCCCGTTTGATTCGTCGCTCAATCATGCTCGTGCACATAAAGAGCAGACAGTTAATTGGAATCGTCAGTGCTATCAGACACCATACTTAAGTTGTCGACTGGTAAGCTTGTGATTACACGAGAATTTTGTGTGAAATTTGAGTGTGAAATTTTTCTCTCAAAGTAAATCGATATATTTGATGTTCTTTTTATTTTGATATACATATATATATAATTACGCGAAGTTAATTATTTCAAAAAATAATATAATAAATTAGGAACTATCAAATACAGTGAAGTGATTGTTATAATTTTCATTACGAATCCTCGTACGGTTTTCGTTGTTAAGAATATCTTATCTTTGTGCATAATTGCAAGTCAAAATAAACATTGTTTATTTATCCAACTTAACAAAGCTTCATATCTGTATACCATATTTTATGAAGAGATATTAAAAATCGATTCAGATGCTTTAATTGGGAAAAAAAAAACAAAGTAAAATAACAGCGTACTCCGTACCTAGAAATTAGAAACTTTTGGTAATTATGAAGGAGAGGGGCTTCCTCACCGATTTGGCTGAAACTTGACAATTTTGTGTATTTTGATGCGTAAAACATGAATCTACAAGTTAAAATTGTCTCTCTTAATTAGGAAAAATGTATTATTAAGTACTAAAATTGACAGTTGCGTAGTGACGTAAAAGTTCATGAAATTACAGCATTAGTGCAGTACAAGGGCAACCTGTCCTATAATAGTCTGGCGCCTAAGCGCCTTACTTTAATTATGTGCTATTATTTGACTTTGTGTTTATTATACTTTGTATTTATATAGACTTTTCGATATACCAATTATTTTCTGCTTTAAAAAAAGCATAAACTCTATTTCTATTATCTTTTTTAATATATGATTAAAAAAGATAATAGAAATAGAGTTTATTCTTTTTTTTAAAGCAGAAAATAATTGGTATAATCATATATAGTTAAAAAAAATAATAGAAATAGAGTTTATGCATTTTTTTTAAAGCAGAAAATAATTGGTATATTGAAAAGTTTATATAAATACAACGTATAGTAAGGTGTCAGAGTATTATAGGACAGATTGCCCTTATAGTGCACTATTACTGTAATTTCATGCTCTTTTACATCACTACACAATTTTAGTATTTAATAACTTTTTTCCTAATTGAGAGCGACAATTTTAACTTATAGATTCATGTTTTACGCACCAAAATACACAAAATTGTCAAGTTTCAGCCAAATCGGTGAGAAAGCCTCTCTCCTTCATAATTACCAAACTTTTAAAGGATAATTTAATTTGGAAGGATGAAGGAAGACACGCAAGCGACAATGAAACTGCCTATCCCTCTGGATTTGCCAAAAGAAGAATTGGAGGAATTAGTAGACAAAGCGAAGGATTGGGCGCTCATGAATGGAATGTGCTTGAGATCGAAAAAAAATTTCGATAGAGATGTCTTGCAATTCGCGCCGTTCACGCTTTTCCCGTCGCCATTCCCCCGAGAGGAGTTTCATAACGCCTGTAATATCCAGATCATTTTGAATATACTCATACATAGAGTAGCTCACGATTACGATTTTTTAAAAGATACTTTGCAAGAGACTGTAAAGGTGGATGACTTTACTAAAAACTTGTTCAATATCTATGAGATTATTCGCAAGGAAGGGACCGCACAGAAAATATCCCTTGGCATGCTACGCTCAGATCTTATGTTGGACACAAGTTGTCCCAAGAAAGACACTAAAAGGCTCAAGTCTCACTGTTGCTGGAAGCAAGTTGAGATAAATACAATTGCCTCTGGATTCGGTTGGCTAGGACCCGCGTCTACGCAACTACATAAGTTTGTCTTGCAAGAGCTCGGCTACACGGCCGAGCTGAAAAATCTTCCTGAAAATAATGCTCTACAAGCACTGTGTTCGGGTTTGACAGAAGCGTGGAATCTATACGGCGACTCACAGTACGTTTGTAATTTTTATAAATTTACTTCTAATCTTGCAATTTGTCGTTATTTACTCAAACTTGTTTACCAGTTATATTATTTTACGTTATCATCGGTGGAGTATTTCAATTTTCTCATAGTCAAAAACATGTGATTGTTTGCAGAGCAGTTATTTTATTTGTTATCGAAGATGTTACGTACAATATTTGCGATCAACGTTTTCACGAGTATGAAATACGAAAGCAGAATCCGAATATAAAAGTAATTCGTAGAAATCTGACGCAATTAGCGGCCACTGCGAGACTGGGCTCCAATATGGAGCTAATGGTGAACAATTATGTCGTGGCGGTAGTTTACTATAGATGCGGCTACGAGCCTGGTCAGTATCACACTCAAAAAGAATGGGACGCGAGGTTGCTGATCGAGAGGTCATTAGCAATCAAATGCCCGAGTATTCAATATCACTTGGCCGGCACGAAGAAGGTTCAACAAACTCTCGCAAAGCCCGGCATGGTTGCACGTTTCTTAAAGGATGAGAAGACGGCGGCGAAAGTCAAAGAAGTATTCACTGGTAGGCGATTGTTTTCTTATACATTGGAATAAGTTACAGAGAAATGTTTACTAATATTAATAATGCAACGTGTAATAATATTTATTATTTAATTGCATGTAAAGTGAAATTATATAGACTATATACAGAACAAAAATATCAAATATACGATTTTTCGTTTCAGGTCTTTATCCTCTGGACTTTGACAAATATGGGGACGCCGCTGTAGAAATGGGTATCTCGAATCCTCAGCGTTTCGTGTTGAAACCACAGAGAGAAGGCGGTTGTAATAACTTGTACGGGACAGATATCAAGGATTTTCTGGAATCTGTGAAATCTAAAGAAACTCGAGTAGCTTGGATTCTTATGGATCGGATTTATCCACCGGTGCACAGAAATTATGTTGTGAAATATGGAAACGGATATATGAATTTAGAGACGAAAGAGCTAGTCTCGGAGTTAGGCATATTCGGCGTTATCATTGGAGACGATAAGAATATTATACTGAACAAACAAGCTGGTCACATGTTGAGAACTAAATTATCCACTGATAATGAAGGCGGTGTAGCGAGCGGTCTAGGTGCTTGCGACAGCCCGTTTTTAATCGACTGATGCATAAAATGAATTGAATTGCAAAAATTATACTCGTTATGCAGCTACGTTACGTCATTCCTTTTTTAAAGCAATACACTGTCTTCTATCATAAATCTGAAATTTGTATGAATTGAAATTTTATACGTTTTATACATTTTATACATTTATAAGTACACAAATATATGTACACGCACACATACACATATGTACAAATATATTGAAATTAAATGTATTTACCAATCAAAACTTTCATTCTATCATTAAAATAAATAAAATCCTTCCTACTGCTTCCAAGTCAAAGAATTAATTAAAATTAATTTGATTTGTTCTGTATCTTCTTTTTTTGCAGCCTTGCCTGACGTTATACATGCGGTGGCCAAGTACGAAGTAGGGCACGAACCACGAGAGATCTTTTTCTTCCGAGAAGGTAGCATTGTTATGTGGAACATTTCTGACCTCGAATGCGGCAACCTATTGCAATTTTTGAGACGTTATGAGCAAAATCGTTACATGGAAGAGCTGGTTCATACTGAGAGCGAGTTAATGAATTATACTTATGCAGATTCTGGGTACCTTTACTTTTTTTTTCATTACCAAATGCTTTTATATTCTCATGAACTTCACTGGGTAAAATAAATTGTAAAGAACATAGACAAATGAATATTTTCTAAAATAAATTTAGTAATTCTCGGTATCCAATAGGAAAAAGAGCCACTTGAAGGATGGCGATATTATCCTGGCGCAGGAAGCTGGGAATTTGGATAAGTACACGTTCTCCAATGCCATGGCGCAGTCCGTCAAGTTAGGGATATGGGAAGCATCGTTGAACCGCTATGTCGACTCAATCGAATTCGTTACGGAGGATCTAAAAGTTGGCAAGCAAATTCGAATGACGCAGCACGAGGTGTTGAGAAAACAGGGCGAATTATTCGCCCTTAGACATCGAATCAATCTAACGTCAGATCTGTTAGATACACCTGATTTTTACTGGGAACGAGACGACTTGGAAAGCTTGTATCAACGAATATGTGGATATTTTAGCATCGCAAAACGTACGAGAGTAAGTATTCAATATATATCTCGTCGCCTTCTGTATGACATTGATATTTTTTGTATGATATATATTTTTTATGTAGGTGATGAACGAGAGATTAAATCATTGCTTGGAACTGGTGAGCATTTTATCGTCGCATTTGAGTGATCGTCATCACGTTCGTTTGGAGTGGATGATTATCGTACTTATTATGGTGGAGGTAGCTTTCGAAGTTTTGCATTACATCGATCGGTACCTTGTAAAATAGCAACCTGACAGTAACAGATAATACCGCTTACGTTGTACACAAAAACCAAATACTATGTATACTATGTATATATTTCCTAAATATACATTACTGATACATTCTACTCTAAAAATATTGTCTCGTCGTGTTTACAATTCGTATTCTAATTATCAATTGTTCCAATGTATTTTACGGCATTGATCTTTCGATGAGACTTGAAAAGTTTGTCTATTTTTTACGAAATAAGATATCTTAATAAAGCAATATCAAAAATTTCTTTTATTACTAATTTACAACATGATCGTTTGACAGTACAAATTCAGCAATCTTTGGTGGAATCACGAACCTATCGGGATTCTGTTCGAGCAGGCAAGCTAGGAGACGCGGAACGGAGAGAACAGTGCCCGATATTACCGCGGGGAAGTCCCTGCCGGTGGGCGTTTGATAGGCAATCAGTAATCGTTTGCTTAAATAGTCACCGTATGTTGATATATGACCGATCTCGATGTACTGATTCAAGAACGGCGACCACATCTCGAAAGATACGCGCATTTCCTCACAAGATTGTAATTCGGACGCGGATCGCATAACGACGCGGTAGTGATCGCACAGATCGTCGTACAACCCGCATACGGTCTCCAAAAGTTCCTCGAACAGTATTCTGTAATCTTCGCCCTTCGAGTCCTTCACTACGACAAAGGCATGCGCCACAGAAGCCTGACACGCCGCGAACAAACCAGAGGCGTGCGAATTTTGCGGCGTGTACTGTCTGCCGGTGGCGAAGTACTTGAGCGGGAAATGCTTGGGATTTATCAGCTGCTTCGTATGCAACGCCAGGAAAGAGATCAAGCTTGCGCCGCCGACCAGATGCATGCGATTCGGCGAGCCTCTCTCGACCTCGTTGTGATCCTGTATCACGAATGCGGCCATAGGATCCTCGTGATTCAAACCGGACGCTTCGACGAGGAGACTGCGGCTGAAATCCGTACCGATTATCCTGACCATATCGTTCCCACCGAGAACTCGGCCCGCGTGCGCCAGCGTAGCAAGCTCGAACAAGGCCGCGTCGTTGCTTAAATAATAACAAATAGGATTCTTGTACTCCAGCAGGTCGAGGCTCGTGCCAATGTCGACGTGACTCCTCCTATTCTCCTCTGACATCTTGGTCGCGCTGCCGACGCTCTTCATTACCACCGATTCGCCAACAGGCGTTCTAGGATCCAACTCATTTGGCAACTTCAATACCCTTTCTATTACGTCTTCTTCCAGATCCCAGATCGCTTGCTTCATCGTCTTTACATCTTGCCGTATGATCCTTAACTGCGTACGCAACTTGTGCACCTCCTGCTTCTGCTCGGCAGTATGCTCGGCGCTTTGCAGGATTTTCACGCGATCGACGAGTTCCGTATTGTGGTCCTCTAACGCGTATTTGTCGGCGATCATCTTTATATAAAAATTCCAAGCTTCCTTCAATTGATCTATGTCCACGTCCATCCCGCGCGATGCTAGATTCTTCCGCAGTTTATCCACATTGGCAAATCTTTCATCGAAGTCCAGATACGGAGACAGATACGCGAACGCTTTGTAAGCTTTATTACCGGAAATGTACAGTGCCGAACTGTAGTGTCGCTCGAAGCTCGAGAGGAAAGTTGTTCGACGAACATCGCGCATCAAAGTTCTGTACGTACGCTTTAAAGCGTAAGTGAATCTACATAGACTGTTAGTCATCGTGTTCCAATTTAAATTCTCTCTCACGTCATAGTGAAGATACGGCAATTCAAAATAAATTATGAGATACCTCTATTCGTTTATTTTCATCACTTTAGCATTTGGCTCAGCATCCATGTCCTTTTTATCAAGGTCTTCCCGGGTCACGGTGTCGATCTTCCGCTTCTGTGGCGTAACGTAACTTCCTTTGCCCGCCGCTCTTTCCGAGTCTTCGATACTATATGGCTCCAATTCAAGCGCTTTCATTCGCCGTTTGTGCGCCTTGGTATTGAAGTGAGTATGCAAAGCGGCGTTGGTTATAAAATACCTCCTAGAATCAAATCATGTATGTCTCAGTTCTAATAATGTAGATATTGTTCTTTATATTTCATAAAAGCATTTTGTTACTCCAATGTCTATCTTTATCAATGTAGATTAACTTTAATCTACGTTCTTTAATCACATTTAGTTGACAGTGTGCTAGTTATAGTACGTCATTTTGAAATAACATTCTTTTGCCCATTTCTACCAAGAAAGATTTAACCTCTCTTAAAATTAATCTATATTATCAGGTAAACATACTTTAAAAGTAATAATATTGTTCTTCACGGAATATCTGATGAAAACATGCAAGTTAAAGTTTTCTCATGTTACAGTGAAAGTAAAATAATTTCTATACATATAATAATAAATGTTTATTTATTTAATTCCTCAAGTACCAAATTGAAATTGGAGGGGTAAAAGCCATAGTGGTGTAAGTCAAATTTCTCAAGATATCGACTCGTATGCAATTAATTGTATAGACGCAATCTATACAATATGCAAATTGCATCTATGCACGAGTCAATATTTTAAAAAAATTGACTTACACCACTGTGGCTTTTACCCCTTCAATTATTTCAATTCTCGCGTTATCAAGTAGGAGTTGCCTTCCTCCCTTCACTGTCACACAGCACAAAATAACTGAAACTTGTAATAATTTGTTGTTTTCACGTTAATCACTTTGCGCGAGAGGTTAGGTTAGATCGCACTAGGACTTACGCGCAATGCACGCAGTAATGCTGCGCCGCTCCCGGCTTGTCAAAATCCACCTCCTGGTTCAGCAGCTTCTTCACGTTTTCTTCCTTCAGATCCTCGTCGATCTAGAAATCACGGATACGCGATTAATCGGCGAGCGACGATCGCGAGACACGTCCGCGGGGTGCGGGCCGGCCACGTGTCGAAGAGGTTATGGTTACACAAAATCGGCGCAAACAGGTGTAAACTCACCTCGTCCAGGTCCTTCGTTCTCCGTTTCGTTCGCCAACCTTTTTTCAGATGCGTATCGCCTCTGTGATACTTCTTGCGTTTGTACGTCATCGTCGAGAATCTACGAAGTCACCCCCGGTCGAATTCGACGGGCACGCGAGAAATTCGTAAAAATCGCTGCACGCAGCCACTTCCGTATCCGCATGATCGAGGCGATCGAGCGCATCGGAAGCGATGGCGTTTGTGGAGCGGTTATATCGCAAAGTTTTGAAATTGCTGATAGATATTTATATTTAGGCTACGGTCCACTTAACACTACAAATGCTTCGAAGCATTTCTCTTCTCTTTTCTTTCAGTGAAGAAAGAAAAAGAAGAACACTTCAAAGCATTTCTAGTATTAAATGAACTGCAGCCTTAATCTCTACTGATCTCTGCCCTGCGGTTTTGGATCGATAGACTTCCGTGTAATACAATATTTTATTCGTTTTTTCTTCATCACATCTATGTTTGTCTACTTAATTTACATTACTTCGCGTTACTTAATCTTATTTTTCAATTTTACATTTCAACATTCATAGGGGTACATTTATTTACTTTTATAATATAATTTATCTTTCAAGTGTCTTGTTATTTATCTTATATAATTCATAAAACTCAGTCTCCTATTTCCAAATTCAAAGTGGAGGAATGAAGAAGGAGAGTTGGGAAAGGAGCCGAGTATTTTTTTTGCACGATAACGTCGGATTCTCCAACGAAACGCGTCGCGACGTTCGAATCCGCCCGCCTTTCGCGCCAATCGCGCGTCAGCTCCGCCGCGCCTCTTTCGGCCGCCGACAGATGGAGGCAGGCGGCGCCGAGGCAGGTCGCGCGCCCAGCGTCCGGCACGGGCGTTAATTCAAACCGTGCGCGCACGGCGGGCGGACGGCGGCGGTGGGGGAACCCATCCATTTTGAAAGTAAAAATGTACTGTGCGATCCGGGATTTTCGTCGGTCGGGGTCGGACGCGGACGGTACGCCGCGCGGAGGGTAAAAAAGCCCGTGGGGACGCAGGCACTGGCAAGGCAAGACAGACGCCGTCGTTGCGGGTCGGGGCCTCTTAACTAACCGCGCGCGGAGTGTCCGCGCGTAAAATGACGTAGAGGTGTCCGTGTTCCGTGCGGGCGTGAGCGCGCGCGCGCGCGCGCTGCCGACAGTGCGCCGACGTGTGTGGTACTGGTGAACTGGTGGTGAGAGCGGAAACGGTGCGCGCCGCGGTGTTGTGTGTATATGTGCCCCGTCGGTCGCGGCGCGCCGTCGTAGCGGATCGGGCGGTAGCGTATACGGGAACGTGGCCGTGCGGTGGCTTCGCCAATGGATGCCAGGCAGCACGGGACGCCATTTTGATATACGGGCGCACGTCAAGCGCCTCCTCGTCCTCGCCATCGCAGTGAAACGCGCTACGCGAGTACGCTCTCACCGCCGCCGCCTGCGTTAGGGGAGAAACTCGCACGGCGCGGGCCGAATTCGGGCGTTACGCGAGCTGGCCGGGCAACGCGAGGCGGCTGCTGGCGTGCTGCGTGCCGTGGCGCGACGGATCCCCGTGAGTTTCGTTGACAAGTGACAGGTGAATCGATCGGGGCCTACGAGAAAGAGAGAGAGAGAGAGAGAGAGAAAGAGAAAGAGCAAAGAAGGCTCTTCGCCGTTCGTCATCGTCGTCGTCCGTCGTCGTCGCGTTTGTTGCGGTCTCGAGAGCCGAGAGTGCAGAGCGAAACGGAGCGGAGTGGAGCGAAGCGGAGCTGATCGGATCGGAAGCCGAGCCGAGCCGAGCCGAGGCGGTACTGTGCCGTGCCGTGCCGTGCCGTACTGTGCTAATACTGTGCCGTACTGTGCCGTGCGCTCCACGCGCGTGAACGCGCGAGTCGTCGCTCGCACGCCCGCTGCTGAATCGTCCCGTCCCGTTCCCCCCGCCGGTGGCGCGTCCCGATTTTTCGTGCACGCGGCGTGCGCGGACGCCCCGCGGGAGCGTCGTACGCCGTTACGCGGCGACGAGCGGGCAGTCCGGGGGCGGCGGTACGGCAGGGAAAAGCCGCCGCCGCCGTCGTCGTCGTCGTCGCCGTCTCGTTTCGCGCGCGCGAGCGCGAGAGCGAGTGAGCGAGTTGCGGACGACGAATAAAGGAGGAGAAAGACGGAAAGTGTGCGCGTGTGTGTGTGTTTGTGCGCGTGTGTGCGTGCGAGAGAAAAGAGGCGGAGGAGAAAGAGCGTGAAAGAGAGAGAGAGAGAGAGACAGAGATAGAGGGAGAGAGAGGGAGAGAGCGCGAGAGACAGACGGTATCGAAGAGGCCACCGGCCGACTTCGGTGCAGGACAAGACGACCCGATGTCGGGAGCGGGTCGCGACCCCGTGTCGACCCGCGGTCGTCCTCGTCCTCGCCTCCGCCTCCGCCACCGCACGTCGTCGCCGTCGTCGCCGTCGCCGTCGCCGTCGCCGTGCGTCGTGAGAGCAGCAGCAGCAGCAGCAGCAGCAGGACGCTTCACGCGTCGTAAATGTGCCCCCGTGCGCGTCCATGTGCTGCACCTCCTTCTGCTTCTCTGCCCGCTGCCCCTGCGTGCCCTGTAAGCCCGGAGCACACCACCACCCCGACTAGCACGCCGCCCGCACTCGCGCGCACTTTGTACCCGCGAACATGGCCAAGATCCTCAACAAGGACCCCGTCACGTACGAGAAGGAGAGGGAGAACTTCCTCAAGGACCTCCGACACTTCCACGAGACCCGAGGGTAAGTCGAAACACACACATACACCTCTTTCTTTTTCTCTCTCTTTCTCTTTCTCTCTTTCGCTCTCTCGATCTTCTTTCTCCGTTCGTCGCGCGAGATCTCTCCCGAGTCCCGCGAGCGCGTCCCCCTTCCCCTCCCTCCCTCCCCGTCTCGGAATACGTTTGTCTTCAGCTCAGATCGCTTTCCCCCTGCCCCCTCGACCGCGATCCGCGCGATCGTCCGAGACCGATCGACGATCGGAAGCCGCCGACGACGCGACGCGGCGAGCGAGCGAGCGCCGTTGAGGTTAGGTTCGACTCCGTTCTCTCGACTCGTTGAGCTTTGAGGACAAAGGTTCCTACACGGTTTCTCATTTACCGGGCCGCAGGCGTGTCTTTTCGCGGTGACGCTTTTGCCTCGCGCGTCTCCGAGGAAAACTCCTCGCGGAAAGACGCGGACCTCGGTTCGGGTATACACGAATCGTACCCTCATATATATGTATACACACGCACGTACACGTATACGTGTGTAGCAGATCCGATATAGCGTCGAGAGATATTCTCGAAATGCCGAGACGGTGTAAAACGTAAATACGCTTTGAGCGTCCTGTTGTTGCCGCCGATTCGATTTAGCTCCGGATTCTCGTATCGCGATTACGTGAACTCCCGCGGATCTTTTTTACGACGCGAAAAACGGAAATAACGCAGCGTTACGCATTGCTGTTTCGTAAGGCACGCGTTGCGATTCAGACGCGCGTTTCGTTCGACGGATTCGAAAACTGCATTTTCCATCGACGCGCTGTTTTCTCGAGAGATTCTCGAAATCGATAAAATTTTGCATTCGAGATTCCACGAATGTGAATACTCGTCTTTCACCGTTACAAGTTCTATCGACGAATAAAAATAT